TAGGCATCATGGCTCCTGCAAAAAGAGCTGAAAACACAAGCATTCACCAAGTGGAATGGAACTAACAACAATTACAAGGTTATTCCATCTGCTACTCTCTTTCAAGGAAAGGAAATTTGAACAAACAAACATGTAAATCTCAATAACATTTAATCCATACAAATTGTCAGAACATATGGAATATAAAGCTTAGGCCTAACTGCAAAACTTCTAACATTTCTTACATTTATCAAAATTACGTCAGATATAAACGATGGTAGTCATTTGCTCCGAAGGCTGCGTTACACTTGGGACACTTCCTCTGCCTTGTCTCATACCGTGTACGCAGGCAGTCAAAGCAAAACACATGGAAGCACTTTACCAGTACTGCATCCTTTCTTTTAACCTGCAACAGTATTAAAGCAAGTATTAACACATCATTCCTGTCCCTCTTTCCATCCCCCCACTGCTTTTCCTCTCTTTCTCCCTTACTCATGTCCCAATTAATGAACACCCAGCTGTGTGTTGACCAGACCACACACTAGAAGTTGAAGGGACGACGACGTTTCGGTCCGTCCTGGACCATTCTCAAGTCGATTGTCGTCCTGGACCATTCTCACAATCGACTTGAGAATGGTCCAGGACGGACCGAAACGTCGTCGTCCCTTCAACTTCTAGTGTGTGGTCTGGTCAACATACTTCAGCCACGTTATTGTGACTCATCGCCTGCACCCAGCTGTGCCTTTCTGAATTCCTTACTCTTATCCTTGCCAGTACAGTATATACTTTACTGGAAGACCTCTTTGGAAGGTAATCCTTCACTGGTCTTTGTTGGACCTTACCTATCTTACAACTACTATTTTCTATATTTTGGGTTGTCCTACTTGCCTGCAATTTGTCTAGGTTACTCTTTTTAACCCAGTTTCCATTTCTTCTCTTCTGTCACGTGGCTCCCTCTGGTTTAAACAAGTTGTTTATAATAACCAATTGATTTTGTAGATAGGTGCCAAGTGTGGCGGTGTTTGCACACTGTAAAGCTACATACTGTACACTAGCACGATAAGAATGGATGAGAAATATTGAAGTTTCTAACATCTTTATCCTTCTTTTCCTAATTATTCAACTATCTCTAGATTATTCCTAGACTACTCGCTTCATGACAGTAGGAAAAGGGGATAATGGCGATCTTCTAACCACACAACTCGTGTTTAAAGGATAATGTAGCAAAAAATGTGACTGCAATTCCTGTACTTACTTTGCAAGATGGGCAGGTGAGTGTGTCTTTATAATCTCGTATCTCCTCCATTAAAACTTCATCAGCTCGATCAACCATCTCAAACTTCTTCGCTCTTTCTACCTTACGCCGCAAACTTGCAATTTCTTCCTGTAAAAATTTGTTACAGCCTAGTTTATATCTGATATATCCAGCTAACCCCCTCCCTACCTATCCAGCTAACCCCCTCCCTACCTATAAAACAGCAAAGGCCAATACATCGCTTCTACCTATAAAAGAGCAACGCTCAATTTCAAAATTTGCTGATGACACCAAAACTAGGAATCAAAGCTACACCACTATTTGAGTAAGAGATTTAAAATAAATAAATAAAGAGGCCTTATAGTAATTGTGGCTAACACCCTACAGCCAGGCATGTTATGTGCAGATGATATAAAGATGATGTAATTCAGGGTTTAATTGGCAGATCTTTGAAAATTTGATTGGAAAAGATCGAGCTAACTCTGCATAATTCACTAGAGCGTTCTATTCTTAAGTATTGCATACAGTTTTGGTCACCATATCTGAGAAAAGACAGACACAAATTGGAACGAGTTCAACACTGAGCAATGAAGATATCATGAATCGGAAATAAATCATAGAAACAACGTTTAAAAGAACTAAATTTATACAACCTTAATAGAATACAAGGTGATTTAATGCAAATAATGTAAAATAAATTAAAATTCACAGCAAAATGATTTCACTAAGACTTAATTAATTTTAAAGACTATTAATTAATTAAAAGACTATTTTAATTGAGATGTAAACATATTTAACAGCTTGCCAGGTGACAATACAGTAAAGTACACTAAATAGATTAGACAAGCACTCTACTCCTCAAAGTTAACTGTATACACAAGCATATGTGTATTTATTTTAAATACCTATGTATATACAAGAGTACACACTTTTCTGTGTATACACAGTTTCCAGTATTGTACAAGTAATACATTCAAACAATGAGTTATATCAAGTCTCTTAAACTCTGTAATAAGCAATATGGGACAAACTAAAGTCAGTCAGTTTCAAAATATATACAGCTACAGTCAAAGTATTCACCACAAATCAATACGTAGATCCATGTAAAGTGAAGCCTTCTTACCTGAACTCTTCTATATTTAAAAGCTTCTTGCTCTAAAGCCATCGTCTTCTCGGCTACCACTTGCTGTGCCTCCTTCATCTGTGCATGGTACTTCTCTGTCAATAAGAAATGTAGTAATAATTATCTTAAATTTATGGATTACCTTGCATGTAGTGTCTACATCACATAAGGTGAAAGGAAGCAAGAGCAACTGCTTCACTTATATGAGCCAGGCTAGCTTAACATCACCTTTTCATAGGCTATCACCTAAGATAGCCTTTTATCTATCTCAATAATATACCCAAATTTCCCACAATATATTAACTGTTGTTCTGCTATATACAACAAAGTATGGCAGAGCAAGGAATTGGTTGAAATACAGCACTTCTAACAAGTCTTTACGCATCTCAAAGAATTACACTTACCTAAATGTAGCTTTAGATCTGCAGCAGACTGAGCAGATTCTATGGCCTTGCGTTTGTGCATCTCCAGAGCTTGTTGACGGAGGGTGAGCTCTTTCTCAACGGTTGTCAGATTGTTCTGTAATAAGCGTTCCTTCTCCTCTAACTTCCGAACAACCTGGTTTTGCGCTTCCACTTGAGTTGTAAGTGTATTTGTCTGTGTGGGTTTAAAAAAAAAAAATCATGATTTTACTTTTCCAAATACAAATACAGAGTATGGTGACAAATATTGGAAACATATTCAAGTTGGTTACTAAAGTGCCAGTACAAGAATGATTACAAAATGTATAAATACCATATATTAATTCTTTATAAAACTAGGTTAATATGTACTGTATTCTTTACTGTACATGTCACACTGATTGCTATATGGTCATATAGCTTAGTGCACTTCCTGATAATTACCTCACCTTACACACTGATCACTGGCTTGTTCTCCTCACTTTCTCCTTCCCTGTCAAGTACTTCCAAAATGTGGCCATATCTCAGCTGTTTATTATAATTAAAACTTGCTCTAAAAATTAAGCCTAAAGAAATCTGAAGATGTTGACTCGTCAAATAATACCTTCGAACAGAAGTACCTATTACAGTTTTCCCATACTAGAGTGCATCTTAGGCTAAATGATGTTTTTTGCAACAATAGCTGTCAACATTAAAGCTAATGAGAGATGGCTTCTTTTCAGTCTCCAGGCAGACATCCCCCAGCTGCCTATGTATAATAAATGTATTGAGGGCTGCAGGCTTATTAACTGATACAAATTGAATGAGTTTAGATTAAAACAAAATTGGCAAATACTGGTTTGTGAATTAGGTTGTACAATATATTTATGGACCAAATATATAAAAGAATGAGTTTGGAGTTTAATTGGGTATGAATTGGAGCTGCTGCACAAAGGCCTATAAGCCTTATGTAGTTTCATCTGTTCTTATGGAATGCAGAGAGAACAAGAGAATGAGAAGACATGATGACTGCCAGTTACAAACTCTATTGTACTAGAAACTAAGTAATGTTGTACTAGAAACTAAATAATGTTTCTGTTTCTAGTTTCTAGTAACACAGAAAAGGAAGGTTGCAGTAAACTTACTTACAGTAGCTGAGGATTCAAGTAATTTATTTTCTTTGGAAAGCATTTAAAAAAACTGCATTTTTGAACCTTTTGCTACTTTGCAAGTATCTTGTGTTCCACAAGTTTTTCACATGATATTTTAAAATTTAATAAAATATACTGTAGCAGAAATATATAGCAATATTCAGTATTAACTGTCTTTGGCATACTGTAATTAATTTTTTAAAATCTTTCCAGTTTGATTTGCCAATACAGGTACTGTTATTATATTTAAAGCTTACCTGTTCTTGCAAAACATTACGTTCTTCATTAGCCAGCTGGTGAATTTGATTCGATTTAATCCTCTCCGACATAAGTTTAAAATTGGCATCGTCCTTTTCTCTTAACTGCTGAATTAGGCGTATATTTTGCTCCTGCATATCTTCGAAGGCCTGTCCCGTCACTTCCATCTCATTCAATAACGTTTCTTCTTCCTGAAATCCAATAAAAATAATAGAACTAAAAATATAACAAAAACGATGTTAAAATGGAACAAAGTGATGGAACATTGTCTATACAAGAGAAAATGTGTATTCGAGGTTGTGGGACAGATGCTTGGGACTAGCCAGCCTCACCAAACTTTGCAGGGTGATGTTTGATTGTATGGTAACTGTCATAGGGTGATTGGGGGATGGGGGAGTCAGGGGTCATGACACTCCATGGGCTTCTTTAACACTTTCGCCCGGGCATGACGCAGCATTGCGTCATCGGTTTACTGTCGGTAATACCGGGGATGACGCAGCACTGCGTCATCCACTTTAAATAATCGCCAAAAATCAGGTTTTTATCCGATTTTTTGGGGACTGGTTTTAAAATGTGCGCCGATGTCTTCCCATTTTCTTTGTTGAGCCTCGTGGCCCTCAGGTGGCTTGGCACATGCCGTTGGGCTTTTGGAGTTTATATGCATTTAGTGCTGTAGAGAATTCTATTGTGAACACAATGATGCCAAATTTAATCTCGTAGGACGAGAATTAAGGTGACAAAGTTGAAGAGAGTATACACTTTTCAGAATTTACGCGCGCTCCTGTGACACCCTAGGTCCCATATCGCACTATTGAGGGGTGGCGTGTGGGGTGAGCGAAAGTGTTAAGAAAGATTGGCTCCTATTACAACAACCAATGATACCTATGAAGCCTGAAATGTGGGTTTTAATTGTCCATAGAACATTAGCAATAGATTTTGAAGCTGGTATTAACGTTGATTCAAAGTATATAATGTTGATTTACCATTACTGTATTTGTGCAGGTTTTGCCCACTAAGAAAATGGGAGGGAAAGGGACAAAACAGTAGGGAGGGTGGAAGAGAGAATAGGTTGGAAGGAGGGAGAACAGAAGGGAAAGAAAACAGTAAGGAAGGAGAAAACATGAGGCAGAATGGGAGGGAGGGATGGCAGGAGAGAACAGAAGAGAGGGAGGTAGAGAGAATGGGAGAATTAGACGGGGGAGGGAAAAAGGAGAAAAACAGTCAGAACTAGTCACCGCCATGTACATCGATCTATCTACAAAAGAGAAAGTCCATCTATTTATCCATCCAAAGTTGGAAGTCAGCCTCTTGGAGCATGTCACAAACAACTTTGCATGATGACTGGTAATTTTCAGTCTCATAGGGTGGTCAGGGTAGGCCACTATGCCCCACTTGAAGGGGCATTGGCCTCTGCACCTCGCTTCACAAAGTCAGTGGATATTAAATGTGCAACCAAAACTTGTATAGTTTAGCATTGATTTAAAAATTTGTTTATTCAGATACAGTACTGACATGCAAAATAAATGTTCAGATGAGATTTGCTATTTGAGCACATACTTTTGATTACAGTGGTGTAGCTAGTGTGTAGTAAAAATGGATGGTGATAAGGGAGGATGGAAGTGGAGATGGGTATGCTGTGAAAATGGTTAGTGATGAGGAAGGATAGGGAAGGTGTGTGAGGGGGAGAAGGGGTAACAGGGAGGGTATATGCTGGAAGAAATGAGGAGGGGTGTGTATGAAGGGAGATGGGGGAGGGGGAAGTTTATGTGGGGGGAAATATTAGAGAGGCTGGGCACAGGCTTGACTCGGGCACCACTGGGTAGTCAGTAGTTTAAAAGCTTAAACTAAAAATAATAATTATAATAAGACATCAAACATGCAAGTAACAGTTTCTTCTTAGAGAATTGGGCAACTGAAGATGGGGCAGGGTGAGGCTGATTAAGGGAGCTTCAAAAAGCTTTCCATACCAACAATGCTTAAGTTATAGCTTTTCAGTTCGTTTCTCACAGATTCTTAAGTTGTTATGTGTTCCATGGTATTTCTCTCATATTATAAAATAATAAAGTACACATCACAAGTCCAGGCCGGGCTCGGGAATTACAAGAACTCCCAGAACCCTCTCAAGATATATAATAATTTAAGTATCAATTCAATATACAGAAATGTTCAAGTACACACCTGTTTTTGAACAGCAACTTGTCTCTGAAGCTGATGAACAGATTCTTCTAATTGCTTGATCTTGCGAATGGCCTCTTCATCAGCTAATTTCTTTCTTTCTTCACGCTTGCTCTCCTGGAGTTTCTTAACCTGGGGAAAAGTGGGATGAAAATTTAGCACATTTTGGCAATTTCCTTAAAAACATTAAAGAACTCACTTTCAACAAGTGTAAGCCACAAGCTTAATTTTGAGCAGGTCACTCAACTGCTCTCTGTCCACGGGATATTGTGAACACTAACCTAGGTTAGAGTGATGAACTCTCAACTTTGAAGAAGCAAGGTTCTTTCCAATGCCCCTGGCACAACATTTGGAGGAATTTTTGAGAATTCAAAATACAGCCCTCAATGACCTACCTCTAAAAACCTACCCCCCATTCTCCAGATAGTGTAATGAGGGTGTTAGATAACATTCCAATTGTTTTCAAGATGAACAAAGGTTGAATGACCCAAGCTTGTGTTTCACAAAGTCCCAGAGTGAGAACGTGTCTAAATGACTGAGCAGCCAAAGCTAAACAAAAAATTATGCTGTGTAAGTCAATGATTGAGGACAAATATATGTAAGCAAATACCCCAAAACAGGAAACACTACTGCTGGATATGTGTGGGTACAAACACGGACAACAAATGCCCATACATTACCGATTTAAAATAATATAATGCACGTGAAAAATACCTGCTCCAGATATTTGCATAACTAGGATTAATATTTTTCATAATATTTAATATTATTTTCATTAAATAAATGAAGCTAAAATTAATTAAAATTATATATATTTTTTTTATGCAAATACCTGTGCCTTAAGGTCTTCTACTTCTTGCCGAGCCTTCTTCTCCGCTGCCATAAGCTGAACCTTATCACGCTGCTCCTTTCCCACACCTTTGTACATATCTAACAATAGCTTCAACTCTCGATAGTCATTAACAGCTTTCCTATGGACAGGGATAGGAAAGAAATTAACTACTTTACACAATAATACACCTACTGTACAGTATGTGCAATGAGAGAATATAAGTGAAGTAAAAAAATTCAACTCATGGTAAGGGCACTATTGGTGTATACGAGAAAGCAACCTTCATGGAGAATGAAGACAGTTCAGACAGGGTGCATTTGAAAAAGACTTCACCCATCATAGATTCAACTTAAATGGATGTCCCAGAGGAAACAAGCATCAGTGAGAGAAAATAATGTACAAGGAAATTCTAATTTATTTTTTTTCAAATAAAATGTTATTATGTAGAAAATATACTTTTTACGAGTTATTTATCAACAACCTTTTCTAAAATGCCAACACTACTTGAAGACACAGTAATCACACTAATGTAACTGCATCAATGAGAAAATCCGTAGGAGCCGTGATGAGGGTTCGAACCTCTGCGGTGGGTGTTGTGGGACGTGTGAACACCATCATAGGTTCCGACCCTCCTCACGGCGCCTACGGATTTTCTCGCTATTTTAAGAATGAGTTCATACAAGACGGTTATAACTAACTATACTATATAATGCATAATGTTAGCTTATTGACTCTTTCAATGATTCGTATTTATCCATTTTTGAGTAAAAGCTTTTGTTTATGATAAAAAGCCAGACCTGCTTTACACTGTGTGAGAGATATCATGAACAAACAGTATCCTTGGCTGTATTTTCATCTCTTCTACCAAAGTTTTTAAGTCAAATCAGAGGAAATTTGTCCTTTTCAGGTATGGTCTCTTAATACAGTACTGTCCTTGTACCGCACACAATATTATTACACTTTCAAGACAATACAGTACTGTATATAAATGTAAAACATAATAATTCTGTACAGTATATACACTCAATATGCAGGCGATGAGTCACAATAACGTGGCTGAAGTATGTTGACCAGACCACACACTAGAAATTGAAGGGACGACGACGTTTCGGTCCGTCCTGGACCATTCTCAAGTCGATGACTTGAGAATGGTCCAGGACGGACCGAAACGTCGTCGTCCCTTCAATTTCTAGTGTGTGGTCTGGTCAACATATACACTCAAAGCACCAACACTAAAACAACAATGCTGGCTTTAGCAAACTATTTTTTGTTTTTCTATTGATCCATACAGTACTGTATTTGGGAAATAAAACTCCTCTTATTTGATGGAGCTTGTCCCAAAGGTACTGCACATGTCTCCGCAATCAAGAAGCTTAACACTTACTTGTGTTCAGATTTCAAGTTACGGATAATTTCACTCTCCCTCGAGTCCTTGGCTGGAGCAGCAGCCCCACCCTGCTTCCCACCGCCTCCATCTTTTCCATCTTTCCCTTCTTTCTTGATCTCCTTTTTGATCTTGTCATCTTTCTTGTCACCATCCTCATTATCCTGCAAAATAACATGAAGACTTAAGAACATGTCTGACAACTGGTCAAAACATTGATTCATAATGTACTTAAAAGTAGAGATGTATCAAGGTCATGGTACTGGTACTGATGTTTAGCTAGTTTAGTTTACTTATAATGCACCCCATACACATCCTGTGGGCAGTACTGTAAAAGGTTACAGAGGCACATAATAGGTTCAGGGACTGAACCCCATAATTGATATGTGCCTATTTTTGCAGTACTGGTAATGGTAAAATTTCAGCTGATACTGCTCTTTAACATCTTTTAACCGTTTATCTTTCTCGATATAAGAATTTCAAATTCATTCATGGCCCATATGAATGGGCCATGAATGAATTCAAATCATTTTGAAATCATTCAAAATGGCTCATATGAAAATCATATGGGCCAAATCATTCATGACCCATATGAATCGAGCATGGTACATGTGTGTGAGGTTAATACTTGTTCAATAATACTGTACTTTATTTTACTAATTAACTTATTCCAGCTGTCTACACCTTCATATGAGGGAGACGAAGGATCAAGGCACAACATGGTGTCAATTGGTCAACTTTAACCTTTCCACTGTGCGTCACAATCAGGAATGTATTAACACCTTGGATGTCTGGCCTCTCCGCACATTTCCTACTATAAACATTCTAGGCTTCACTGGCTGCTCACAGGCTGCTTAGTGACCTCCTTGGCCAGTGGGTGTTCTTTAAGGCCTCTGTCGGTGACCCAAGTTTTCATTGAGGAAGCATTAATTTCTTTACCTGTTTGTTTACCTACTGTATGCAAGGAACTCATACAAGTGTAAAAAATATCTCAACTAGAACCAAGGGTGTAAATGATTATCTAACTGCAATGAACAGTTTCGGTGCTTTTCACATTACCTTAGATTCTTCGTCACCATCTTCCTTCTTTATATCCATGCCTTCAGCTGTCTTGTCGTCCCCACCAGCTCCTCCACCAGATGGCATATTCGACTGCAGGTTTGAGGATGTTGGAGGACCTGAAGAATCACACGACTCGCTTCCTTCCTCCTTAACCATCTGTAAAGATCGATAATTAATCGATTACAGAAATTCTAGAATAAACAAGGGGTGTGTGTGTATGTATATGTATGTAAGTATATATGTATGTATATGGAGAGTGGAGAGAGTATCTGAATTCACTACTGTATTCACTTTGCTGACTTTTTCTAAAAAGGTTTATGATGACCTTGTATACAAATGTTTACTTTTTGAGACCTCCAAAATTATATTATAAACCCCTAACCTAAAGCTGCTCCAGATATGGTGACTACAGTACATAAAAGTATTAATGAGCTATCATGAACATGATGTGTCCAACTGGTACACAAAGTACAGGGTTTAAACACACACACACACACACTTGCAAAGTTATAAAACAACATTTTCATAACTACTTATATATTTAACAATTAGATCAATTGTATGATTACCTGTTCCTTCCCTCCATCACCTCGGTCACTACTGACACTGTCTTGACGCTCGCTCACACTTGCACTCCGCTGTCTGACGGCCAGCTTCTGGTGCAAGTCTTCCACTTCTCGTTTCAGCTGAAGAGAATACAGTTGATAATTAGTCTAAGGAAAAGAAAATAGAATTAAAAATTTTTTTTAACAAAATGAATGCTTCACAGAGGGAACTCAAGGAATGTATCCCAGAGCTCTCTCAGGATAAGAACATGGTGGTAATGAATACCTGGGAGAGCCTAGGCTGGTGTAATATGAAGAACTAATCTGATTATCCCCTGTAGTACACCTGGAGTGGGTTCTAGGAGTTCTTCCACTCCTCACCTAGTCTTTTTAACATGGTAGCTTATTACATATGTTGTCATTACAGTTCTGTCATGTGGATGGAAATAGTTTTTAAAAACCTTTTTCAATCCATTCCACACCTTGCCAACCAGGGTATGGAATTTCCTTATATCTTCGTGCTCAACTGTGTAACCAGCTTCCACCGATATCCTACCACCTCTCAATATAAATAGGCTGGCCTTGTCTACCCAGTCTATTCCCCCCTAACTAATGTGAATGTGGTGATCATATCCCCCATTTTGTTTTCTCACCTAAGGTTGTGTGGCCGAATCCTCTAAACCAACCTTCATATCTTAGCCCTCCTGATTGTGATACTAGTCTAGTTAAAAACCTTCTGTAACTACACAAGTTATTATGATTCTGGCTGCAGAGGTGGCTATGATGTAGGGTTAATCCTTTTAGTGTTTACTTATAACTCATACCTCTCTGACTCTGATACTATTCAAGTGGCATGCCAAAGGACTTTCTCTAGCTTCATTTTATGTTTAGCAAGATAAGGACTCCACATTGGTACTGCACATTCCAAAACTGATCTGACTTTTGTGGTATATAATGTCCAAAATAATTCTGAATTCAGATTTCTAATGGCAGTACTAGCTGGCCAACTTTGCATATGCAGTTGATTTCTATTTTATTTGGACCTTGGGAGACAGATCTGGTGTGATATTAACCCGGTGATTTCTAGCTGGTTCATCATTGCCACTCAATCTTTTGAAAACCATGACACGCTGGCTTAGAAAGTTTCTGACTGCTGCAAACATGACTCAGTGCACAACTCTGCTTGTTACTCCTTTGGTTAGAAAAACCATTTATTAGAAAATGGTTACATTTGGTTTATTTGGTAAATGGTTTATTTGGTTACTCCATTTATTAGAAAAACCCAAAGCAAAGGGTCAAATCTTCCTCATAGCTCCTACTGATCTTTCTCTTTGATACGTCACATTAATGTGATTTTTTAGTACACATCACGAATTCCAGTGCTACGTTTATCAAATGCTTTTGCCAAGTCAATATACATAACATCTACATTTTGGCTTTGATCTTAAGTTTCTATGATTTTGTTATAATGGCTTAGTACTTGCAAAAGGCAGGATTATCCAGTTTTAAATCCGCACAGACTTGAATGTGTGCCCGTGCTAATTCAGTTTTAGTGATGATAATGTACCTTCTTTATTATTTAACATATACATTGACAGTAAAATTGTATCATAAGAGTAGAGGGCAATATTAGACAACTCTCACACAGCTAGATACAAATGAAACATATCTGTTTATGTTCCCTTGTCAATATATTTTTCATCCACTTGGAATGTAGATGCAACCAGCAAAAATGATTTAGGTAGAAAAGTTAGTATTGAGCTGATCACAATGGTAAATGTTAGGTACAGAAATGGTAATACAGCAATACTGTCTGCAAGAGATTTAATTTCAATTATTTTGTAGGAAGCACATCAAAATGTCGCAGCTACTCCATGCAGCCATGCTAGAAATGACATCCACGCATTTTCCAGGATCAAGAAGCTTCCCATCAACCATTTAACGAGCAGTGTTGGTCCTAAGCAAAGTCAGGCCGATGGGAATTTAAGGCTGCCTGACTACAGCAGAGAGATCATTCTTACCACAACGCATAAAGAAACAACACTTCTTCTAATCTGCTTCAATCTAGCTGACTCTCCATTCTTGGCTACAGCCACCAGCCATCGCAATCTCTGCCACCATCTGTGCTCTATAGCCTCACCTTACAACTCACCAGGAGAGCCCAAGTCTGCCTGGACACTACAAGGAGTAAACATGAGATTGGCTCTTCTTGTTCTCTCTTTTGGTTCTGTACATTTATACTATATAAATATGACTGCTGATTTGCATTTACTTGTACGGTGGGTGTGAGACACTAAATAGACATGATTTTGAGAGAATAAAAAGGGGGTCCTGAATATAGAATAATTTGTATTCGTGATGTAATCTTGTTCAAGTAATAAATACTAAGAAAGTAATGAGGATATAATTCAATAAAGGAAGAGGTATGGTACATCATCCAAGTAAAAGCAACTCACCTTACTACTCTCTGTGGCAGATTCCTTGTATTTTCGCTTATAGCGATGAATCTCCCCTTTCAATTGTGTGATGTGGTTCTGCAAGGAGGTGATAAGGTGCCTCATTTCCCTGTTAATGGGTCCCGTTTGTTCGTTTGCAGCAAGGTTCTGCTCAAATTCTATTCTCAACATCTCGTACTCCTTACGCACCTGGGCTTGCATGTCTTCAAGCTGAATAACCTCAGCGCGTAATTTCTTTTGAATAGTTAGTTCCTCGCTCTGTAATATTTACCTTTATATTTAACCATGCTTTTATACCTCATTCAGTGAAATGTCAGGCACTAAAAAACTCAACATACAAAACAAAGGTACACACAATTTGTATTTTAATTTTAATTTTTTTTTGCCATTCGGATTCCCATTCTCTCGATTTTAAAAATAGTAATATATCGAAGAATAATATTTATAAAGCTAATGACAACACTATAATATTCCACCTGAGAAAATTAAAAAATTAAGACAAATATTTACAAAGTTAAATGATGTACAGTATATTGATTGTGATGCTCGAAAAGATTAGGCCTAAGCATTTAGAAAACATGTATAAACTGATCAACAGGCCGAAACAAAAGTATTACCGAGTTTTGTTCAGTTCACATGTATATTACTGATCTTCCAGAAAGGGACAGGTAGGAAGCCCCAAACTACAGGCTGGTCTTGGTAACGCACATTACATGCAAGTACTAGATAAAGTAATCGTGCAGCAACCAGTGAAGCATGCCTAAAGTAGCTCAGGCACCCATCCACTACACTATCACCGGAGCGTACCCCGAGGGCAGCGACGGGAAAGAAATCCATCAACTGCCCGGGTGTGAAGGTAAAATAGCATGTGTATTCCAGAACTTCTACCTCACCCAGGAGTGTGATAAAGGCAAGACCTAGTCCAGAGAGAGGATGGAACAGGGACCTCCAAGTGCAGCATAAATACAACACTTAGTTAAGGAGGCTGAAAGATGCACATGCTGCCATAATAATCCAAGTAACATCCTCCGCCACAAAAAAAAGATGAGAAAAAATGAGGCAGTGGACAATGGGCAGTGATAACATGGACTCCCGAAGAGAACGAAAGACAGCTATCAAGAAAGAACGACAAACCAAAATCCACCCAATCCCTTGATAATATCTACTAAACAGCACACACACACACTGAGAACCTGCACCAAATATGCACTCATCTTTTGGTCCCTCGCAACCCATGCCAATGGCAACGTGGGCACCTGAGCGTGGTGCTATTAAGCTCTGACATTGCAGTGAAGGGAAGGAGTGAACAGGGCAGTATTAACAGCCATAAAGGGGTAAGACCCTAAGAGACACTTGAAAGACTGAAGCAGCTTTTGAGAAAGTTGCATCAGTCTTTCAAGTCTTTCTTCTGTGCCTGGGTTCAACAGAAGTGCCAGCAGGACAATGCCTCATCATCGCAGCCAGGAAGCAGATGATAATCTGTACTGTCTCTCATAATAGGCAGGCAGATTCTAGTCCTGGCTCTTAATAGGTCAGCATGGGTCTTAATACACTTCTCAAGGACTGACTTCACCAGAGCACACACAACCGAGCTCTCCTGAGAGGGCTTTCAAGCTAAACATCCATTTTCTTATATATTCACTAAAACTACATAATATGTTCATGGGAATTTTTCTTGTGGCTGTAGCTATATTTGATGCAGTGAGGGTGGTTAACATGAGGAAAGTAAAAATATTTAAAATATGAGTAGCAAACACTGACCTCCATCTGTTCAATCTGGCGTAAGTGGGCATTTTTGCTATTTTGTAACTGATGTCTTGTTTCTTCTAACTGAGTCTTAAGCTGCATGGAATCATTGTATAACACAGAGAACTGGGACTGTAGACATTTGTATTCTGTTGTTTCTACTATTACACTTTCCGGTAACTGCCGCAACTGCAAAGATGTAAATAAATGATCATACCATAAGAACTTAATTTGATCAATATTAATGTATACCTCTGAGGATACATGATATACAACTGAATTTAAACATAGTCATCTTGAACAAAATATCTGTATTCTGTATGTTGAATTTTAAATGGAGCCCCACCAAACGAGGGCATATGAAATCCCCAAAGAAAGGAACGCAGGTGCCCCACCCAAGTCCTCAACCAGCAGTTGGAAAGCCAGATAAATATGGAGGAACAATCAAAACACCTAGAAAATATGAAGGAGACCTCCAGACCCCAACTTTCTTTAACTTTCTGGTTCTTTCTGTCTGCCTATTATTTGCCTTCACTTTAAGGCAAATGTTTACTATAATACAGCTTGTTTATCCCTCCCAAATCTCTAACATAAATGCTGCCCAGCCATCTAACATACACAACAGTGGTGATGGCGGCAGTAGTGTTAACTAACACAATATTGATACAATCACCCCGTACCAGAATATGTGCAACAGCGTTCAATTTAATCACAAATATCTGCAGTGCAAAAACAATAAAATAAGTCAACTTACGTCCATCTTCAACCTTTCAACTTCCTTAAGTGCTTCCTTGTGCTCATTTGTTTTCTTCTCTAGTTCATCTAGTCGTTTAGCACTCAGTTCCCGTAGCTCTTCCAACTCGCTGTTTAACTCTTCCATCTGCACAAGAAAGATGGGGACATATAACTAAATTAATGAAAACTAACATTTAAAATTAAACATTCATTCCACAATTTAGAAAAGCAAAGGAACCACATGTTGTATCGTGGGAAGCAATGAACCAATATCATAAATTGCACTCGACTATTTGAGGTGTATGGCAATTTTCATTTTGTATGTATGACTGGACAATCTCAAATTTATAGTACATTATATCTAAACTGAGCAAGTACTACAACAATATATACAAACCGACCTGTAACAACATAATATCCATGCAAGAGAAAGACTAGATATACAGGAGATATTAACGATTCTTCGCGGCAGGGGATCGTATTCCAGGGACCTGCCCGAAACGCTACGCATACTAGTGGCTGTACAAGAATGTAACAACTCTTTTATATATCTCAAAAAAAAAGGAGCCTTGTAAAATAGCCCTTAATATGCACTGTACCCTAAAATAACCAAACGAGGTTATTGATACACACATTTCCTTTTTAACGCGTTTTCAAGCGTTCACAAGGAACGCTTGAAAATAGACAAAGGCAACTGATGCTATTCTTGATAGTTCAGCGATACAGCAATTCAAAAGTTCTATCCGATATGTTTAGGCAGTGCAGCAGGATTTAGTGTTTTAGCACTGCAGCTCAACATGCTTGATATAATCAGAATTGTATACCAGTCTCTTGGCATTGACAGTTTATGTAACATAAGCTACCTTCAAATTGGATTAATATCAACTGTAAACATGATGCTGTAAGTTGTGTCAAAATCTTTCACAGGATATATGTTTTCACACAAATTTCAGAGAATATATGAGATTATTAAACTTAATATGAATGTTTTAGTAAACTCTGTTGGCACAAAAGCACACTGTGTGTTTCAGGAGCAGAGAAGCATTCTGTGTAGTTACCTTACATTGGTTCCAGGGATTAACGTCCCTGCACGGTCTCTGACCAGGCCTCCTGGTTGGTGCAAATCGGCTAGTTATGCCCCTTATATTCAGAGGGAGAATGTTCAGAAGTCTTGGGCCCTGTGATGGTGAAAGAATTCTCTCTCAGCATACCTATTACACTTCTGCTTTTCAACAGCGCTATTTTGCACATTCTGTCATGCCTCCTGGTCTTTTGTGGTGTTCTGTGTGCAGATTTGTCGGCATATACTGTTTATGGCTTTTTCCAAGTCCAGTGTGGTAGCATGATACCTAATATATGATTTAATGCTGGTATCACATTCATGAAGAATTTGTTTGGATTATCAGTGTCTTCAATGGTTCCACTGAAAATGGAAACGAACTGTATTCTCAGTATTCCATTTATTTCCTTGTCATCTGTGAAAGTTCCATCTCTCTTACACAGGGGCCCAATACTAGATATAGTTTTTGCATAGGAGAAAAAGCATTTTGGATTCCTCATTATTTCACTGATGACCTTTTGCTCTTTGACTCTCCTGGATGTCATATGATTCTTGTAGGTTTAGCTCAAACGTTTCTATTTCATTACAGCCTTCCTTGTCGTTCTTGAGACAGGGTGAGGTATTCGAGATGTTCTGCGATTTGTTTTCTTCGTCCAAGAGAGAATGCCGTTCTCGTTCCAACATATCTTTTTCCTTTTGATAATTACTGGAGCATATTTCTAGTGCTACTGTACATATTTTCAAAATTTGTCAATCTCAAAAATAATACTCACTTTTTTAGATGAAATGGAGGAAGTGATCTTGCCACCACCTGGCAAGACCTCCCCTCCTTTGGCATTACCCGTAGGATTGACACCACACTCATCTTGCATCGCCTTCAGCTTTTGGCAGGTATCGGCCAGGTGACTTTCTACCTTTTCACAGCGTGACCGTGTCTTATTTAAATCATATTCCATATCCTCAAAGCGGTTCTGCATCTCTGCCTTTTCTGTATCCATAGCTTGGAGCTTTTCTTCCAGTTCTGCTACCTGCAAACATAGTGAAAAAATTCACCTATAGTAAAATCTCAGATTTTCAAGCAGTGGACATGGTTATACAAAAACAAATTACCTTAAAAAAAAGAAAATAAAGGGAATTTACAATAATAAACAGAAAATCTGAGACATTAAATTTAAACTGTGCTAAAGCTGTATTTATCAAATGTTTCATGTCAAATCAAATGTTTTGCCCAGTGAAATACAACAATTACCTGTTGTACATTAAAAGATATTTAAATATGCGTGTATCAATAAATTTAACATCTTTAAAGCCCCATATAATCTGAATACAGTATAACTAATATATCAACTTGATCCTGATCCATTTTAGGGAACACTTCTAATGCCATCTATTTATGCCCTGTCATACAAAAAAGCAATACTGTAACATACAAGAATGAAACCTGAACAGTACGTTGTCAGAATTTGGTTCACCTGCATGTACAGTAATAAAAGCTTATCACAAACTATTTGCATACCTTGAGACACATGAGATGATGTTTTTCATGAAATGAAAGATTTTGAGCATGGAGATTCTTGTTCTCCGTTTGAAGCTCCGAATTTAATTCCCGAACACTTTCTTCCAACACAGGCGGGGGCTCTAAAATGGGAAAGAACGAATACAAGTTATTACAAAACGTAATCACATAAAACCAATTTACTAATTTCTGAAATTTAGGGCATAAAGCAGTAAGTAGCCACCAGGTCATTATTAATTTCTATATGCAAGTCCTTAGCAAAATATTTAAAAATAAATGCTGAAAAAATTTAAACAGTGCTCGGGAAACAAAATTATTTTTAGAAAAATATTTACGTATGACCCCTTCTATAAATTTCATTTTCATAATTTGACATCAGCCACTCAGGTAGGCCAACTACCCTAACCACAATCTGATGGTGATAGGGGGGTAAGGGGGAAGAAGCGGGAGTGACTTTTTTAATCCCAAATATAAGGTGGGACCCAAGAGCCAAAGCTCAACCCCGCATGCACAACAAGGACAGTACAACACACACACACACACACACACACACACACACACACACACACACACACACACACACACACACACACACACACACACACAGGAAAAATACAGAACACTAAACAAATAATAATGCTCTGTTCCTTTAACATCCCAAACATTGTTTACTAAATTACAAACCTCCTTCCAGTCCTTCCCCCTTGAGTGCCCGTGCAACCTTCTCATTTCGTTGATGCAAGCGGTCAAAAGCTTGCACAATTTTGGCCACTGCACGCTTAGACACCTGTACCCTGTTGACCAATTTCTCATCTAATTCTTCTCTGTCCCAGGTTGACAGCTGTGTCAAAAAGGAAGTAGTAGCCTCACTTTCATCTGAAAGTTAAGCGTGACATAAAATGTTGTCAGTATTACTTCACACACCTAATATTATACTTGAAAACGATAATGACATACATTATATCAGAATTCTACAAATTCTTAATTACAGTATTTCTTTATACCTTAGTTTTTATTTGTCTGTAAATTTATCCAAGCTTGCCTCGCTTAAGTGTTTTGCACATCTCTCTTAACTGTTCATGTTTAGTTATTATATTATTTGTCGACTGTAATTCTACAGCATTCTTCACTTGTTTTTACGGTAGAGTATTTATGAAACACAGTTACTTCACAACTTTCCATTGGTCATTCTATCTGATACCTTACAATAGAGACAAAAATAAACAACTATTAGGTCTTCCAAATTGTTAATTATAAATTCTTACATCATACAGCTTGTTAGAACTTACAAGTTTTGTATCACTCTGTGGTTCGCACTCACTTGAATCACGTACAAAAATTAACAAAAAAAATAACTAACCTGAAGTTGTAGTAGTGTAAGGAGCACAAATTTTACTACAGTATCATCCATGAAAGCATCAAAGTTTATACGCAATGAAAAGTTTAATTTCCATTAAACTGCATATTATAGAAAATAATCATTTCCAACCCTTTCAAGATGTTTAAGTGTTGCAAAAACTAATTTTTTAAAAATAAAAACCCTGCATTAAATGTAATGAAACGCCTCTTTCTGGTGGGCCTCAGTAGCTTCCCGATGCTAAAACCTGGACCAGAATATAGCCCACGCGCGGACTAAGGTAACCCGAAGATCAAAGATCACAGAGCTAAGGGAAAAGACCACCAGAAAGATAGTGCTCCAATAGAAGCAACTGCAAGGCAACATTTCAAACCCTGACCATAACAATGTAAACACTTTTTTTTACTGCAAAATCACAGCCTAACATCATTAGTACATCCCCAGATGGCAGCCTGAGCAACCCAAAGCATAAACCACCAGCCAACTCATTAACAAACCACCCAAACTCAAAGGCATCCGAATTTCACAGGAAGAAGGGCATTGGGTGGAAACTGGGGGTTAGAAGCTGACCTAGAGTTTTCAAGCCCTTGGAAGTTGGTTTTGTGATAATCTAAAAGATCTTTTGGCCTTGCAGATCATACACCATATTCTTCCTCTAGCTTTTTAGGGTGCAGTTCTGTGATGACCAGCTCTTCCCAGCTCTCACCACAATGGCTAGAGGATGTGGTACCTCACCTGCAGTTAGCTCACATTAGTGGGAGGGTTCGTGATTTGAATGGCACTTCAGCGGATAACTCTCCCGCTGGAGACATTTGTGGATTGGCTGATTAGCTCTGGTTTATTTTGGCTCTTCCTGCTAAGTGTCCCAGTCCTCTTCAATTTCTAGAACTCCCTCTCTCTCCCAGATGATAGCAGCCTGACTTACTTGCAAGTAATTCAGGGTCCGATTACCTGTTGATTACCAGCAGATTATTTCATGTTTTTCTATTTACACAGTCTGCCCTTATAGCCAGCCTTTCCTGGTGATTGCCTGGTCAGTGAGGCTGTTTATCTTATAGGCCAAAGGCCCACATAGCCATCATAATAAGGCTGATCCTGCAACAACAGGAAAAACTTGTTCAGCTCTCTTGAAACCTCCTGCTGTTGCTTCCAGTGATAGTTCTTATATTCGTTGGCAAGAGATTTTCTTTAAACATGCTTATAGCACCCCAACCTTCCAATCAGATTTATTTTGTAATTTCCATTATATCTCTCACTCCAGCTTGAGAAAAAGAAGCTTTTGAAAGTAGTATGACTTTTAAACAAAGCCAAAATATTAACTAGGAACATAGTTTTTTATCATTTTCACAAACCAACTCAGCCAAATGAGTCAAGGCGTGGCCCAGTTTGTGAACCTTCAGAAGTCTACTGTACAATAACATTATCTTGACTGAGGCAGATTATTTCATTAATTACTTTAGCAATTATTAATTTTTATATCAAAATTATTAACATTACCTCATATATAACTGAGTGAGAATGAATCATTAATTAATAATTGTATAAAAAGTTACCTTGTAATAATTTTTAATTAATTTGATCACAGTTTCAACAAAACCCAAATTCTTAGTTTTAAATTTTGCCAATAATATTTATTTTCCAATTCTAAATAACAAAATGTATACTGTAGTATAGTAATTAAGAATACACTGAACATTTCTCTTAGAAATATTTTGGCGTCACTCACTTCTTGTTTCAGCCTCATCAGCGGTCTCGGCATCAAAACGCTGCAACATGAGTCGGATATCTTCATTGAACTGATTCCAGTAACGGTTAATGACGGTCAGCACATCGTCACTTTGAGTTTGCCGCTTCTCCAACTGCTCTATTCGACTTCGGAGCTCGTCTTCTATTCTTTTTCTTTGCTCTAATCGCTGTGACACACATTACCAGAATGTAAGAAACACGTTACAAAACAGATATTATCAAGCAACAAAGGCCTAAATTGGTAGGATTTATTTCTTTTTTTTTTGCTTTGATCAACATGAAAATAAATGCAATTCCAAGATATAACAGCAATAAAAAAAAAAAGTCCAATTGTTTTACGTCAATCGGTCTTGATGCTTCATACTAAATTACGCTACCTAATTTTTGCCTAAGTAAAATTTTGTAGTGCCTCTCAAGACACTGGTGCAGTGGTTGGTGTCAGAAGATACTTACCAATGGTTACCTATAAGGAAGGTCAGTTTCTCCAGTGAATCGACGCGTTTCTCGACACATTAGGCTAGTTTATCCCACCATTATAAATTTGCCCCTGACAAATTCTTCGTTCACTTTTTTTTTTAAATGTCCATATACTCAGATAATTGCCTCTCGCACACATGTCTTAATACATCTAATGCAGGACCACAGAACTTGTTAATATCTGTACTCATAAACTACTCATTAGAATTGGAGCCCAAGATGCTCATGTGCTAGTGGAAATGCCTAGCGTTTATCAAATGTGCAGCCATTCTTGCAATGCCATTTTATGTATACCATTTCCACTGTGTCAACACCTTTCTTCAGGCTGACTAGATACTTTTCTTGTAGTTAATTAACTTCTTATCACTTTCAGTATAAAATTCCATATTAATAAGGTACTGTATATTTATTCTTGAGAAAATTAAACACGGTCGTCCATTAGCTTACCATTTTCTCTCGATAAAAAACAAAATTTTGCAAATGTGCAACCTATGTACATCATGTTCCATCTTTTTAATAGAGTGATCTCTAGAGAATCAGTATCGCAACACTTTTTCCCTTGGGTTAGCTGGTCATTTGAAACTTCATCACATTTGCTGTCATAGTCGAAAAATGCTTTTAAATTTTGTTGACAACTCCAGTAATATGACTAGAGACAATGCTTGAATGACCATGCCAAAAAAAAAAAACAATACATTTAGCCCCCTTAACTGAACCTGAGCAAATGGGGTGGACGAGAGTATAGCCTCACTCACTCTTGTGCACTTTAATGGATATACTGGATTTGAATCTAGGTCCCTTAGTTATGAGCAGATGACCTAGACCACTGAACTAACCACTAATCTATGGTTTTCCAAAATAATTAGTGAAGCAAAACTACCATTACATAAGGTACCTTACCATTAATATGTATATATGTTATCATAAAAAGGATCAAGATTATTTATTACCTGATAAAGCTTGTGGTTCTGGAAGCGAAGAGTTTTCATGTCCATCTCGTCGAGAGTAGAAATTGAGCCCAACTGAATGGGTTCAAACTGCACCTTAAGGTTTTTGGTTGGGGGTGCCGAGCTGGAGCCCCCCTCATCAAGAGCTCTCTTTGACATCTTGGTCTCGTGGAATTACCCAGGGTGAGACCTAAATGTTCAGAAGGGGGAAATATTTTTTACTAAATCCTTCCAATGGCAAATCTCTTAACATTACACGAGTTTTGATGGTGAATTAATTTAAAAAAAAAAAAAAAGATCATACAACATATTGATCCCCTTTATCAGGCAGAAAACCATCTTGGTCACCCTACTGAAAGACCTGGGAGCCCTATGAGGCAGCTTGTATTTTGAAAACAAAACCCCAAGAAATACTCAAAACTAATTGTAACATGACAACAAGTATCATAGAGGACCAGGAGACATGCCAGGAGAACCTGACAGACCAATGACTAAGTTGTTGTGAAAATGTGGACAATGACTACCAACGAAGATAATGTTCTTCTCGCAGATCCTTTACCACAGGAAAAACGAGACCACCCAAAGAGAATGGGTCTCACAAAACCACTCCTTTTTAAAATATGAATTTAAGCACAAATGAATGGGAAGAACAGCTGCCCACAGCCAACACAATTCCTGGGAGCATGAGGAAGGCATGAAGACCACACACAAACAAGAACCGTGAATATCTTGGAGCAAGCCTAATAATTGCAGACCCGAGTATGCAAGATCACTGCAAATGACCCCAACTAAACAGTCACTGCAGTTTACCAAAAGTCTCGAATGCCCTCACAGATTCACTGATCAGTGGTGGAGTTTGTCTAGAAATAGAACAGGACTGCAGAATGAGCCGTCCCTGAGCAAGGAACTGGCACGCCAAACCTTCACCTTGAATAAATAGGTCAAGAAACTGCCTCCTCAAGCTGACACCACTTGAGTAGGACCAAGTGCCACAGCCGTCAACCAGAATCTTACGACACCAAAGAAACTTGTTGAAGAATTATTAAGTTCACTCGGGCCCCAGTTTGTGTTATCCAGTCGACGTAACTCTTTAAACAAGCATTTTACTTAATGAAGTTAATTGGTTTAGATAAGGTGTCAACATCCTAGTTGTAACACCTTGATTAGGAATGATTTAGGTTAGTGATAGACTAAACATCTATCTCGGTTCATACCAGCTTTTAAAAATGGTCAGGTCAGTTTATTTCAAAGCAATATCTAGTAAGCCTTCCCAATGTTTATGGTAAGATGATGTAATAGCTCATTATTATGCATCTGTAATCTCGACACGCCAACAAGGAAAAAATAACCCATACGAATATTGAGAGGTGTCAAAATACTTTGCTGGAAACATTTTTTTGTTTGAAAGTGTTGCTAATAAATACAATTATCCAGTTTTGGTGAAGGTTGGGAAAACAATGCAGCAGTATAACCCTGGGACCTAACCTGGACCAAGTCTGGACCTAGTCTGATCAACCAGGCTGTGACTCGTACGTCAGGCTGCGAGCAGCCACGTCCAACAGCCTGGTTGATCAGTCCAGCAACCAGGAGGCCTGGTCGACGACCGGGCCGCGGGGACGCTAAGCCCCGGAAACACCTCAAGGTAACCTCAAGGTAAGGTAGTCTGGACTGAACCTGGACCGAGTCTGGACCTAACCTGGGACCGAGCTGGACAGAGTCTGAACCGAACCTGGACCTAGTCTAGACCGAGCCAGGGCCTAACCTAGACCTAACCTAGAGACCGAGCCTGGCAGACCCTGAGGAGGTGGTGGTCGTGGCGGCAGCAGGCGTGTACCGAGACCTCCGTGGTGGTGGTGGCCGGGTGGCCCAACCCACCCTTCACGCCCACCAGCACCCACTCTCTGACCCCCAGCCCACCCCCCTGACCCACCATCACCACCCTCCCTCACCTTAGACGTACACTACACCACCACTGAACACATCAATCTATACGTCTGGCCTAACGTCTCAGGGGCAGTGGTTCCAGCAATGTTCTCCCCGCCTCTTATCCCATCGTGTAAACAATCAGCTATAGAAATTAGAAAGATTTGATTTTGATATTTTGGTCCTGGTTAATGTATATTTAATGTAATTAAGTATATTTAAAGGGGGGTGTATATCGTAAGGAATATATTATAATATAGAGCTGGTTCGTAATTTTGAATATATTAAAAGTCCAGTGATTAATTTCTCAATACCGCGGATCTGCCAGTATTTGGCGGCATTTTTCACAACCTTTAAAAATATATTTATCTAATCCTCTGTGTAACTTGCAGTAAATATAAGTATCCTATAATTATTTGATAATAATTATAGGCTTCTTGTAGATAATTATTATATATAATAATATATATAATATAGCTGATCAAATTTTTTTTGAACATCTTGCAATAGCAAATACAAAAATATAACAATATAACACATAAACCATATAGTAAAAGTAAAAATTTTCTTCGCTACAATTTAATTTGATAGCAAAAACGATAAATATATTCGTCTATCATGTAAAATTCAATAATAGTAAACTAGTCTTGCGACTGATGTCAATTTCATGTTACCATGGAGACGGCGTCACTGTAGGGGCGGCTTCAGTAATATACAAACGTAAGTATGAAAGGTTTCTTATATTTTTGGGGGATTTAACCTAACTACACAGCAATATGTAGCTACCATAATTTATATGGCAAGTTATATAATTACGTACATAAGAGTACGTGTCACCCATACTACCATAGATAATAACATTTCATTCACTTGGAGCCCTATAGACGGCTCGAACTAATGACCCCCAGGAGCAGGAGACAGTAGCTCTGTTAACTGCACCACGGACAGCCCTTACAAAGGAAGGATTTCCAGAAATAAGTAATCGCTGCCAAACTAAAATTCTAAAGTCTATGAGTAGGTTGACCGTTTTCTTGTTAAAACGACAAGCAAACGGCCAACCTACTCATGAAAAACTCGCCAGACACCCAATAGAACGCCTTGAAAGAAACCAACGTCGTCTATGCCTTCACATGCCCACTTGGGGACTGTCAGCCCTAACGTCTCGTTCTAGGCGATTAACCATGCACAAACAACAGGGCTCCATCAAGCCGCTTTCAGTAATTGGCCTATTTTCGGTATAAAAAGTCGGAATTTCAAACTGCGAATAGGTGCAGAGAGCCAGAATTTGGCTCCAAAATATGGCTCAGATATCGAATTTCGGATATTTGGGATATTTTGAAAACTGCAGGGGGGTTTGGGCAAAATGTGACCCACCGCCGCTTTCAGTAATTGGCCTATTTTCGGTATAAAAAGTCGGAATTTCAAACTGCGAATAGGTGCAGAGAGCCAGAATTTGGCTCTAAAATATGGCTCAGGTATCGAATTTGGGATATTTGGGATATTTTGAAAACTGCAGGGGGGTTTGGGCAAAATGTGACCCACAGTCGCTTTCAGTAATTGGCATATTTTCGGTATAAAAAGTCGGAATTTCAAACTGCGAATAGGTGCAGAGAGCCAGAATTTGGCTCCAAAATATGGCTCAGGTATCGAATTTGGGATATTTGTGATATTTTGAAAACTGCAGGGGGGTTTGGGCAAAATGTGACCCACCGCCGCTTTCAGTAATTGGCCTATTTTCGGTATAAAAGTCGGAATTTCAAACTGCGAATAGGTGCAGAGAGCCAGAATTTGGCTCCAAAATATGGCTCAGGTATCGAATTTGGGATATTTGGGATATTTCGAAAACTGCAGGGGGGTTTGGGCAAAATGTGACCCTCCGCAGCTTTCAGTAATTGGCCTATTTTCGGTATAAAAAGTCGGAATTTCAAACTGCGAATAGGTGCAGAGAGACAGAATTTGGCTCCAAAATATGGCTCAGGTATCGAATTTGGGATATTTGGGATATTTTGAAAACTGCAGGGGGGTTTGGGCAAAATGTGACCCACCGCCGCTTTCAGTAATTGGCCTATTTTCGGTATAAAAAGTAGGAATTTCAAACTGCGAATAGGTGCAGAGAGCCAGAATTTGGCTCCAAAATATGGCTCAGGTATCGAATTTTGGATATTTGGGATATTTTGAAAACTGCAGGGGGGTTTGGGCAAAATGTGACCCACCGCCGCTTTCAGTAATTGGCCTATTTTCGGTATAAAAAGTCGGAATTTCAAACTGCGAATAGGTGCAGAGAGCCAGAATTTGGCTCCAAAATATGGCTCAGGTATCGAATTTGGGATATTTGGGATATTTTGAAAACTGCAGGGGGGTTTGGGCAAAATGTGACCCACCGCCGCTTTCAGTAATTGGCCTATTTTCGGTATAAAAAGTCGGAATTTCAAACTGCGAATAGGTGCAGAGAGCCAGAATTTGGCTCCAAAATATGGCTCAGGTATCGAATTTGGGATATTTGGGATATTTTGAAAACTGCAGGGGGGTTTGGGCAAAATGTGACCCACCGCCGCTTTCAGTAATTGGCCTATTTTCGGTATAAAAGTAGGAATTTCAAACTGCGAATAGGTGCAGAGAGCCAGAATTTGGCTCCAAAATATGGCTCAGGTATCGAATTTGCAGGGGGGTTTCGGCAAAATGTGACCCACCGCCGCTTTCAGTAATTGGATATTTTGAAAACTGCAGGGGGGCTCCAAAATTGGGGCAAAATGTGACCCACCGCCGCTCTCAGTAATTGGCCTATTTTCGGTATAAAAAGACGGAATTTCAAACTGCGAATAGGTGCAGAGAGCTAGAATTTGGCTCCAAAATATGGCTCAGGTATCGAATTTGGGATATTTGGGATATTTTGAAAACTGCAGGGGGGTTTGGGCAAAATGTGACCCACCGCCGCTTTCAGTAATTGGCCTATTTTCGGTATAAAAAGTAGGAATTTCAAACTGCGAATAGGTGCAGAGAGCCAGAATTTGGCTCTAAAATATGGCTCAGGTATCGAATTTGGGATATTTGGGATATTTTGAAAACTGCAGGGGGGTTTGGGCAAAATGTGACCCACAGTCGCTTTCAGTAATTGGCATATTTTCGGTATAAAAAGTCGGAATTTCAAACTGCGAATAGGTGCAGAGAGCCAGAATTTGGCTCCAGAATATGGCTCAGGTATCGAATTTGGGATATTTGTGATATTTTGAAAACTGCAGGGGGGTTTGGGCAAAATGTGACCCACCGCCGCTTTCAGTAATTGGCCTATTTTCGGTATAAAAGTCGGAATTTCAAACTGCGAATAGGTGCAGAGAGCCAGAATTTGGCTCCAAAATATGGCTCAGGTATCGAATTTGGGATATTTGGGATATTTTGAAAACTGCAGGGGGGTTTGGGCAAAATGTGACCCACCGCCGCTTTCAGTAATTGGCCTATTTTCGGTATAAAAAGTCGGAATTTCAAACTGCGAATAGGTGCAGAGAGCCAGAATTTGGCTCCAAAATATGGCTCAGGTATCGAATTTGGGATATTTGGGATATTTTGAAAACTGCAGGGGGGTTTGGGCAAAATGTGACCCACCGCCGCTTTCAGTAATTGGCCTATTTTCGGTATAAAAAGTAGGAATTTCAAACTGCGAATAGGCGCAGAGAGCTAGAATTTGGCTCCAAAATATGGCTCAGGTATCGAATTTGGGATATTTTGAAAACTGCAGGGGGGTTTGGGCAAAATGTGACCCACCGCCGCTTTCAGTAATTGGCATATTTTCGGTTTCCATCAAGGAACATAGAATTTCCTCTCACAACCAGACCATCACCAGAGGAATCTTAACAAGCAACACAGAAATCCTCAATAAATACAGCGATAGCAGGAGACTCGACATCAGCGAGGCACTACACATCAAGAAGTCAACACCAGCAATCAACAGCCAATTAATGCACAACTATATTCTACCCACTTCAAGACCCCGAACCAACATAGAAGCAGCAAGAGGAAGTATGGGCCAATAGGCCTTCTGCAGTTACTTCCATTTTTATGTTTTCATATCCAATTTATACCCATTGATTCGTGCTCTGGCATAGCTCTGTCACCTCACCCAAAACTTTTGTGCCATATCACCTCACCCAAAACGAGTATAAGTATAAGTATGATGTATTTTTTACGTGTAAACACAGGTTCAAATACCTCCAAGTTTTTTCACAGATTAAGGAGCAAATCAAGATGAAAATACTCCCAACTATCAAAAGTCGCCACAGAGCCAAAGTAGCGGAAGGACGATCCACTGCGATATGGTACGAACAAGCCACTGGGTACTACTCTTTCAAACCTGGTGAAAAGATATCCAGAGACATTGTAGTAGCCATACACAGACTCAGACTTGGTTACAAGTGCTGCTGGGAGGTAATGAACCCAATAGTTAAAGAGTGTCACATCTGTGGAACAGAAGCAGAGGCGCCACTATTGCACTACTTACTGGAATGTGAAGCTACTGAAGCCCTGCGCATCACACTCAACATTAATCCAACGACAGCAGCTACATTAGATGCACATTCCACCGCGACTACATTGATTAGAAAAGCCGTTGAGGAATGGGACTCACTAGTGAGCATTCTGCATCTACATCCGCCACCAGGATAATGTTATTAAAACAAGACTAAAACCAGTGCACGAAAACAGAAGCGAAAAAGAAACAGGAAAAAAGGAGGAATCCCCACCTCCATTTAAAACTTTGACCCAAATATCACAGTAACAATCGACTTGAGAATGGTCCAGGACGGACCGAAACGTCGTCGTCCCTTCACCTTCTAGTGTGTGGTCTGGTCAACATACTTCAGCCATGTTATTGTGACTCATCGCCTGCATCACAGTAACAAGGTTATCGCGAATAACCGAACTCAATAACGGGCTCACCATAGCCTGTGCTACATGGACACTTCGTTCTGAGTAGCTAAATCTAAAACAACAACAACAGCATGTGTCTTTGAAAGGTCTTTGAAAATGTAATAAGTATTACGAAACGCGTTCAGGCGTCAGACCAGAAATAAAGAATGAATTTTGGAGAGTTAATTTATCAATTACCCTCGACAGTTAAGAAGAACGTAAGAAATATTGAGAAGATTCGTGTTAGAATTATTAATCTTACCCTTTCGGTCATATTCAACAACATATGTTTACAAGAAAGACTATATATATATATATATATATATATATATATATATATATATATATATATATATATATGTCGTACCTAGTAGCCAGAACTCACTTCTCAGCCTACTATTCAAGGCCCGATTTGCCTAATAAGCCAAGTTTTCCTAAATTAATATATTTACTATAATTTTTTTCTTATGAAATGATAAAGCAACCCTTTTCTCTATGTATGAGGTCAATTTTTTTTATTGGAGTTAAAATTAACGTAGATATATGACCGAACCTAACCAACCCTACCTAACCTAACCTAACCTATATTTATAGGTAAGGTTAGGTTAGGTAGCCAAAAAAAGCTAGGTTAGGTTAGGTTAGGTAGGTTAGGTAGACGAAAAAACATTAATTCATGAAAACTTGGCTTATTAGGCAAATCGGGCCTTGAATAGTAGGCTGAGAAGTGCGTTCTGGCTATTAGATACGACATATATATATATATATATATATATATATATATATATATATATATATATATATATATATATATATATATATATATATATATATATATATGTCGTACCTAGTAGCCAGAACTCACTTCTCAGCCTACTATGCAAGGCCCCATTTGCCTAATAAGCCTAGTTTTCATGAATTAATGTTTTTTCGACAACCTAACCTACCTAACCTAACCTAACCTAACGTTTTTGGCTACCTAACCTAACCTAACCTACAAAGATAGGTTAGGTTAGGTTAGGTAGGGTTGGTTAGGTTCGGTCATATATCTACGTTAACTTTAACTCCAATAAAAAAAATTGACCTCATACATAATGAAATGGGTAGCTTTATCATTTCATAAGAAAAAATTAGAGAAAATATATTAATTCAGTAAAACTTGGCTTATTAGGCAAATCGGGCCTTGCATAGTAGGCTGAGAAGTGAGTTCTGGCTACTAGGTACGACATTATATATATATATATATATATATATATATATATATATATATATATATATATATATATATATATATATATATATATATGTCGTACCTAGTAGCCAGAACGCACTTGTCAGCCTACTATGCAAGGCCCAATTTGCCTAATAAGCCAAGTTTTCATGAATTAATTGTTTTTCGACTACCTAACCTACCTAACCTAACCTAACCTAACTTTTTCAGCTACCTAACCTAACCTAACCTATAAAGATAGGTTAGGTTAGGTTAGGTAGGGTTGGTTAGGTTCGGTCATATATCTACGTTAGTTTTAACACCAATAAAAAAAATCGACCTCATACATAATAAAATGGGTAGCTTTATCATTGTATAAGAAAAAAATTAGAGAAAATATATTACTTCAGGAAAACTTGGCTTATTAGGCAAATCGGGCCTTGCATAGTAGGCTGACAAGTGCGTTCTGGCTATTAGGTACGACATATATATATATATATATATATGTCGTACCTAGTAGCCAGAACGCACTTCTCGGCCTACTATGCAAGGCCCGATTTGCCTAATAAGCCAAGTTTTCCTGAATTAATATATTTTCTCTAATTTTTTTCTTATGAAATGATAAAGCTACCCATTTCATTATGTATGAGGTTAATTTTTTTCATTGGAGTTAAAATTAACGTAGATATATGACCGAACCTAACCAACCCTACCTAACCTAACCTAACCTATCTTTATAGGTTAGGTTAAGTTAGGTAGCCGAAAAAGTTAGGTTAGGTTAGGTTAGGTTGCCGAAAACAATTAATTCATGAAAACTTGGCTTATTAGGCAAATCGGGCCTTGCATAGTAGGCTGAGAAGTGCGTTCTGGCTACTAGGTTCGTTCAACCTGTCCTCTTAAAAAGAACGTCGCTTTTGGCCGTTTGTACGTATGGCCGAATTTGGACGTAATTTGGAAATGAAAAAAAAATGAAAATAAATTTGGGATTTTTTTTTTCAACATCAGTAAGTTAAGGGTCCTCTGATAGGTTAGGTGGGCAGGAAATTCTCATAAAGTTTCAAAACGTTATGAAAAACGTTAATTTAAAGTGTCCTCTCATAACCTCTGCGCGTACGTCGGACGACTCAAATAGAAAACGGAACAGAACGTCACTTTTGTGAGTCGATTTCATTTCAAATTACGTCCAAATTTGGCCATAGTGCGCATATGAGCCAAAAGTGACGTTCTTTTTAAGAGGACGGGTTGAGGTACGACATATATATATATATATATATATATATATATATATATAATATATATATATATATATATATATATATATATATATATATATATATATATATATATATATATATATATATATTCCAATAAATTTGTAGAGGGCAGAGCTGTACACCACCACCTGCTAGCACAGTTCCCGGGCACATAGCTTCTCTCCCTGTCCCCCCTACACATTATATCTTCCTTGTGCTAAGAGAGCGTGTCAGGCCTTTTGGCGGTTTTGGGACACACAAGCTGCGCCCTGTGTATCTTTTTATGATAGGGGAGCGCATGGGTAATGCCCTGGGGGGTTATAGGGGAGGTCCTAAGGGTTCCAGGGCAGTTCTTAGAGGTTCTAAGGGAGGTCCTAAGGGTTGCAGGGGGAGGTCATAGCTCGTCCCACGGTTATCGTCCTGCAATGTTTTTTTGGAGACGGGTCTCTCAGTCTACCTGGGGTGTTCGCCGTCCCCTCTCCGTCTCGCCACCCTACCTGTGGGGTGCTGGCTGGTACTCCCCTTCTCACCCTTTACCCACTGTGGCGGTGTCTGCAGTGTCCTTGTAGGGTGTGACTGGCTCTCCACCTGGCGAGAGAGCGAGAGAGAGAGAGAGAGAGAGAGAGAGAGAGAGAGAGAGAGAGAGAGAGAGAGAGAGAGAGAGAGAGAGAGAGAGAGAGAGAGAGAGAGAGAGAGAAGGCTTCTGACCTTCCCAATCTGCGACCTTCCCAATCTGTGACCTTCCCAATCTGTGATCTTCCCAATCTGTGACCTTCCCAATCTGCGACCTTCCCAATCTGCGACCTTCCCAATCTGCGACCTTCCCAATCTGTGACCTTCCCAATCTGTGACCTTCCCAATCTGCGACCTTCCCAATCTGTGACCTTCCCAATCTGCGACGTTCCCAATCTGTGACCTTCCTGCAATTTGATACCTTTTTTTCAGCAGGTCGGGACAATTGAGCAGGTTGCAAGTCTCCACCTTGTGACCTTCCTACGCCTAGCTATGGCCTTACTAGCCCGTGATCGGCGAGTGTCTCGCTCCGAGTACACCAGGGACTACTACCGCACCTCCTCCAGCATCACCACGCCCACGCCCGCGTCCCAGGAGCACCCACACGCCCCCGCTGTCCCGCCCAGGAGGCCAGGTCAGGTGAGTCTCTGCCAATCGTCCATGCAAAGTCAGGGTAAACGTTTCTTCTTGTCACAATAACGTGGCTGAAGTATGTTGACCAGACCACACACTAGAAGGTGAAGGGACGACGACGACGTTTCTTCTACGTTTGTAGAAAGTTAGATCATATGAATATCATAGTTACTTCAGGAGGTGGTAGAGAAAACTGGGTCTACTTTCTGGTTTTGGCGCGTGACTTAGGGTATGAATTTACCATAGATTTTCCCGTAGAGTTTAAAGTTATTCCTAACACTGCGTTTTCAAGGGTACGATTTTTCTGTAAAGGTTTGAAGGAGTCCCCGCCACCCAAGATTCGCATCTGCTATGTCTTAGTCCCCAGACACCTGCTTTTCCCGTCTTCGAGTCCCCACGTCAGTGAGTCTCCTGTCACTGAGTCCCCGGCGAGTTCCCACTTAGTTCCTAGAGAGTCTATATACCACCTATCCTAACCTATCTTAGCCTCACCTGGCCTCCAGCCCCCGAGTCTCCGTGTGGGTGAGGGCCCAACATGACTCCACCTGCTCTGCTATAGCTTACGAAGTTCCCAAACATCAATGCAGGCATTCATTAATTCCTGGGGTTTGTTACAGATAAGCTTTATTACAAAAGGGTTTTACTATCAACAAGTTGTGTTATAAACTTGAATGAACACGTTGGGGAACTTGGTAAGGTATAGTAGAGCGGCTAAGATGCAAACGTTTTGCCTGCGAGTGAGTAGCAGGGATTTTGTCAATTATTCCCCATCCCATCTCCCATTACAAGTAAAGTTAGTAAAGAAATACCCATTTCTAGTGTGGATTTAATATATAATATTTACGTCTGAAAGTATTTTATGTTACTGTCAATATCCCCAGAATATTTTCTGAACGCTTTATCCTTCTACAATCTGCAGTAGACTTGGTTATGTTCACCAAGGGAGGAATAACATATATAAGCTGTTTACATTTGTGTGGCAGGGCGGGAGTGACGCCTGGGTCCCGCCCCCGCCCATCAACCCGGCAGTGTGGCGGGCCTCCCACTCCGCCAAGCTCCACGACTCCTACGCTGACGCCTCCCACGCTCAGAGGACCCGCGCCGAGAACAGGTCGGTCAGTCAGTCAGTCAGTCAGTCAGTCAGTCAGTCAGTCAGTCAGTCAGTCAGTGCCTGCGTGCCAGGGAGGAAAGGAAGGTGTTGCTGTGGTCAGAGATCATGCCTGGGAGGTTATGAGGGGGCACTGGGATGTTTATATGGGAGGTCATACTGAAGTGTTGACGAGGCCATTAGAAGTCCCTCATGTGCCAGTAAGGTCATTCAAAAAACGGGAAGAGCACAGAAGATTTAAGTGCTGCTGAAAGATACAGGAATTCACTGAGAGTGGGAAGGTTTCATATTAGATCACTGTAAATTTGGGAAATAATCTTACTGTTGGATTATATATTTAAGAGAGACTATATATAATATATATATATATATATATATAGGATATATATATATATATATATATATATATATATATATATATATATATATTATATATATATATATATATATATATATATAACTGAAAACTCACACCCCAGAAGTGACTCGAACCCATACTCCCAGAAGCAACGCATCTGGTATGTACAAGACGCCTTAATCCACTTGACCATCACGACCGGACATAATGAGGTGATAGCCGAGGCTATTTGAACCACCCCACCGCCGGCACTCGGATAGTTATCTTGGGCATAGCATTTTACCAAATCACCTCATTCTTTTGGGCAACACGTGAGGAACACAAATGCGAACAAGCCTGAATGGTCCCCAGGACATATGCAACTGAAAACTCACACCCCAGAAGTGACTCGAACCCATACTCCCAGAAGCAACGCATCTGGTATGTACAAGACGCCTTAATCCACTTGACCATCACGACCGGACATAATGAGGTGATAGCCGAGGCTATTTGAACCACCCCACCGCCGGCACTCGGATAGTTATCTTGGGCATAGCATTTTACCAAATCACCTCATTCTTTGGGCAACACGTGAGGAACACAAATGCGAACAAGCCTGAATGGTCCCCAGGACATATGCAACTGAAAACTCACACCCCAGAAGTGACTCGAACCCATACTCCCAGAAGCAACGCATCTGGTATGTACAAGACGCCTTAATCCACTTGACCATCACGACCGGACATAATGAGGTGATAGCCGAGGCTATTTGAACCACCCCACCGCCGGCACTCGGATAGTTATCTTGGGCATAGCATTTTACCAAATCACCTCATTCTTTGGGGCAACACGTGAGGAACACAAATGCGAACAAGCCTGAATGGTCCCCAGGACATATGCAACTGAAAACTCACACCCCAGAAGTGACTCGAACCCATACTCCCAGAAGCAACGCATCTGGTATGTACAAGACGCCTTAATCCACTTGACCATCACGACCGGACATAATGAGGTGATAGCCGAGGCTATTTGAACCACCCCACCGCCGGCACTCGGATAGTTATCTTGGGCATAGCATTTTACCAAATCACCTCATTCTTTGGGGCAACACGTGAGGAACACAAATGCGAACAAGCCTGAATGGTCCCCAGGACATATGCAACTGAAAACTCACACCCCAGAAGTGACTCGAACCCATACTCCCAGAAGCAACGCATCTGGTATGTACAAGACGCCTTAATCCACTTGACCATCACGACCGGACATAATGAGGTGATAGCCGAGGCTATTTGAACCACCCCACCGCCGGCACTCGGATAGTTATCTTGGCATAGCATTTTACCAAATCACCTCATTCTTTGGGGCAACACGTGAGGAACACAAATGCGAACAAGCCTGAATGGTCCCCAGGACATATGCAACTGAAAACTCACACCCCAGAAGTGACTCGAACCCATACTCCCAGAAGCAACGCATCTGGTATGTACAAGACGCCTTAATCCACTTGACCATCACGACCGGACATAATGAGGTGATAGCCGAGGCTATTTGAACCACCCCACCGCCGGCACTCGGATAGTTATCTTGGGCATAGCATTTTACCAAATCACCTCATTCTTTGGGGCAACACGTGAGGAACACAAATGCGAACAAGCCTGAATGGTCCCCAGGACATATGCAACTGAAAACTCACACCCCAGAAGTGACTCGAACCCATACTCCCAGAAGCAACGCATCTGGTATGTACAAGACGCCTTAATCCACTTGACCATCACGACCGGACATAATGAGGTGATAGCCGAGGCTATTTGAACCACCCCACCGCCGGCACTCGGATAGTTATCTTGGGCATAGCATTTTACCAAATCACCTCATTCTTTGGGGCAACACGTGAGGAACACAAATGCGAACAAGCCTGAATGGTCCCCAGGACATATGCAACTGAAAACTCACACCCCAGAAGTGACTCGAACCCATACTCCCAGAAGCAACGCATCTGGTATGTACAAGACGCCTTAATCCACTTGACCATCACGACCGGACATAATGAGGTGATAGCCGAGGCTATTTGAACCACCCCCACCGCCGGCACTCGGATAGTTATCTTGGGCATAGCATTTTACCAAATCACCTCATTCTTTGGGGCAACACGTGAGGAACACAAATGCGAACAAGCCTGAATGGTCCCCAGGACATATGCAACTGAAAACTCACACCCCAGAAGTGACTCGAACCCATACTCCCAGAAGCAACGCATCTGGTATGTACAAGACGCCTTAATCCACTTGACCATCACGACCGGACATAATGAGGTGATAGCCGAGGCTATTTGAACCACCCCACCGCCGGCACTCGGATAGTTATCTTGGGCATAGCATTTTACCAAATCACCTCATTCTTTGGGGCAACACGTGAGGAACACAAATGCGAACAAGCCTGAATGGTCCCCAGGACATATGCAACTGAAAACTCACACCCAGAAGTGACTCGAACCCATACTCCCAGAAGCAACGCATCTGGTATGTACAAGACGCCTTAATCCACTTGACCATCACGACCGGACATAATGAGGTGATAGCCGAGGCTATTTGAACCACCCCACCGCCGGCACTCGGATAGTTATCTTGGGCATAGCATTTTACCAAATCACCTCATTCTTTGGGGCAACACGTGAGGAACACAAATGCGAACAAGCCTGAATGGTCCCCAGGACATATGCAACTGAAAACTCACACCCCAGAAGTGACTCGAACCCATACTCCCAGAAGCAACGCATCTGGTATGTACAAGACGCCTTAATCCACTTGACCATCACGACCGGACATAATGAGGTGATAGCCGAGGCTATTTGAACCACCCCACCGCCGGCACTCGGATAGTTATCTTGGGCATAGCATTTTACCAAATCACCTCATTCTTTGGGGCAACACGTGAGGAACACAAATGCGAACAAGCCTGAATGGTCCCCAGGACATATGCAACTGAAAACTCACACCCCAGAAGTGACTCGAACCCATACTCCCAGAAGCAACGCATCTGGTATGTACAAGACGCCTTAATCCACTTGACCATCACGACCGGACATAATGAGGTGATAGCCGAGGCTATTTGAACCACCCCCACCGCCGGCACTCGGATAGTTATCTTGGGCATAGCATTTTACCAAATCACCTCATTCTTTGGGGCAACACGTGAGGAACACAAATGCGAACAAGCCTGAATGGTCCCCAGGACATATGCAACTGAAAACTCACACCCCAGAAGTGACTCGAACCCATACTCCCAGAAGCAACGCATCTGGTATGTACAAGACGCCTTAATCCACTTGACCATCACGACAGGACATAATGAGGTGATAGCCGAGGCTATTTGAACCACCCCACCGCCGGCACTCGGATAGTTATCTTGGGCATAGCATTTTACCAAATCACCTCATTCTTTGGGGCAACACGTGAGGAACACAAATGCGAACAAGCCTGAATGGTCCCCAGGACATATGCAACTGAAAACTCACACCCCAGAAGTGACTCGAACCCATACTCCCAGAAGCAACGCATCTGGTATGTACAAGACGCCTTCCAATCCACTGGGGCAACACGTGACCATATGCAACTGAAAATCACGACGCATCTGGTATGTACAAGGACATAATGAGGTGATAGCCGAGGCTATTTGAACCACCCCACCGCCGGCACTCGGATAGTTATCTTGGGCATAGCATTTTGAGGAACACAAATGCGAACAAGCCTCATTCTTCGAACCCATACTCCCAGAAGCAACGCATCTGGTATGTGGGGCAACACGTGAGGAACGACCGGACATGAGGTGATAGCCGAGGCTATTTGAACCACCCCACCGCCGGCACTCGGATAGTTATCTTGGGCATAGCATTTTACCAAATCACCTCATTCTTTGGGGCAACACGTGAGGAACACAAATGCGAACAAGCCTGAATGGTCCCCAGGACATATGCAACTGAAAACTCACACCCCAGAAGTGACTCGAACCCATACTCCCAGAAGCAACGCATCTGGTATGTACAAGACGCCTTAATCCACTTGACCATCACGACCGGACATAATGAGGTGATAGCCGAGGCTATTTGAACCACCCCACCGCCGGCACTCGGATAGTTATCTTGGGCATAGCATTTTACCAAATCACCTCATTCTTTGGGGCAACACGTGAGGAACACAAATGCGAACAAGCCTGAATGGTCCCCAGGACATATGCAACTGAAAACTCACACCCCAGAAGTGACTCGAACCCATACTCCCAGAAGCAACGCATCTGGTATGTACAAGACGCCTTAATCCACTTGACCATCACGACCGGACATAATGAGGTGATAGCCGAGGCTATTTGAACCACCCCACCGCCGGCACTCGGATAGTTATCTTGGGCATAGCATTTTACCAAATCACCTCATTCTTTGGGGCAACACGTGAGGAACACAAATGCGAACAAGCCTGAATGGTCCCCAGGACATGAACCACCCCACCGCCGGCACTCGGATAGTTATCTTGGGCATAGCATTTTACCAAATCACCTCATTCTTTGGGGCAACACGTGAGGAACACAAATGCGAACAAGCCTGAATGGTCCCCAGGACATATGCAACTGAAAACTCACACCCCAGAAGTGACTCGAACCCATACTCCCAGAAGCAACGCATCTGGTATGTACAAGACGCCTTAATCCACTTGACCATCACGACCGGACATAATGAGGTGATAGCCGAGGCTATTTGAACCACCCCACCGCCGGCACTCGGATAGTTATCTTGGGCATAGCATTTTACCAAATCACCTCATTCTTTGGGGCAACACGTGAGGAACACAAATGCGAACAAGCCTGAATGGTCCCCAGGACATATGCAACTGAAAACTCACACCCCAGAAGTGACTCGAACCCATACTCCCAGAAGCAACGCATCTGGTATGTACAAGACGCCTTAATCCACTTGACCATCACGACCGGACATAATGAGGTGATAGCCGAGGCTATTTGAACCACCCCACCGCCGGCACTCGGATAGTTATCTTGGGCATAGCATTTTACCAAATCACCTCATTCTTTGGGGCAACACGTGAGGAACACAAATGCGAACAAGCCTGAATGGTCCCCAGGACATATGCAACTGAAAACTCACACCCCAGAAGTGACTCGAACCCATACTCCCAGAAGCAACGCATCTGGTATGTACAAGACGCCTTAATCCACTTGACCATCACGACCGGACATAATGAGGTGATAGCCGAGGCTATTTGAACCACCCCACCGCCGGCACTCGGATAGTTATCTTGGGCATAGCATTTTACCAAATCACCTCATTCTTTGGGGCAACACGTGAGGAACACAAATGCGAACAAGCCTGAATGGTCCCCAGGACATATGCAACTGAAAACTCACACCCCAGAAGTGACTCGAACCCCTACTCCCAGAAGCACCGCATCTGGTATGTACAAGACGCCTTAATCCCCTTGACCATCTCGCACCGACATAATGAGGTGATAGCCGAGGCTATTTGAACCACCCCACCGCCGGCACTCGGATAGTTATCTTGGGCATAGCATTTTACCAAATCACCTCATTCTTTGGGGCAACACGTGAGGAACACAAATGCGAACAAGCCTGAATGGTCCCCAGGACATATGCAACTGAAAACTCACACCCCAGAAGTGACTCGAACCCATACTCCCAGAAGCAACGCATCTGGTATGTACAAGACGCCTTAATCCACTTGACCATCACGACCGGACATAATGAGGTGATAGCCGAGGCTATTTGAACCACCCCACCGCCGGCACTCGGATAGTTATCTTGGGCATAGCATTTTTTACCAAATCACCTCATTCTTTGGGGCAACACGTGAGGAACACAAATGCGAACAAGCCTGAATGGTCCCCAGGACATATGCAACTGAAAACTCTCAACACCCCAGAAGTGATTATCCCAGAAGCAACGCATCTGGTATGTACAAGACGCCCTTAATCCACTTGACCATCACGACCGGACATAATGAGGTGATAGCCGAGGCTATTTGAACCACCCCACCGCCGGCACTCGGATAGTTATCTTGGGCATAGCATTTTACCAAATCACCTCATTCTTTGGGGCAACACGTGAGGAACACAAATGCGAACAAGCCTGAATGGTCCCCAGGACATATGCAATGGTATGTACAAGACGCCTTAATCCACTTGACCATCACGACCGGACATAATGAGGTGATAGCCGAGGCTATTGAACCAACCGCCGGCACTCGGATAGTTATCTTGCATAGCATTTTACCAAATCACCTCATTCTTTGGGGCAACACGTGAGAACACAAATGCGAACAAGCCTGAATGGTCCCCAGGACTTCTGGAGTACTGTATGTACAAGACGGAACATCACTTCTATTTGACCACCACCACCGCCGGCACTCGGATAGTTATCTTGGGAGTCACATATGTCCTGGGGACCATTCAGGCTTGTTCGCATTTGTGTTCCTCACGTGTTGCCCCAAAGAATGAGGTGATTTGGTAAAAGCTATGCCCAAGATAACTATCCGAGTGCCGGTGGTGGGGTGGTTCAAATAGCCTCGGCTATCACCTCATTATGTCCGGTCGTGATGGTCAAGTGGATTAAGGCGTCTTGTACATACCAGATGCGTTGCTTCTGGGAGTATGGGTTCGAGTCACTTCTGGGGTGTGAGTTTTCAGTTGCATATGTCCTGGGGACCATTCAGGCTTGTTCGCATTTGTGTTCCTCACGTGTTGCCCCAAAGAATGAGGTGATTGGTAAAATGCTATGCCCAAGATAACTATCCGAGTGCCGGCGGTGGGGTGGTTCAAATAGCCTCGGCTATCACCTCATTATGTCCGGTCGTGATGGTCAGTGGATTAAGGCGTCTTGTACATACCAGATGCGTTGCTTCTGGGAGTATGGTTCGAGTCACTTCTGGGTGTGAGTTTTCAGTTGCATATGTCCTGGGGACCATTCAGGCTTGTTCGCATATATATATATATATATATATATATATAACCAATACAGAGTTCTATTAACCACTCACCAGACGGCTGTGTGAGGAGGCGGAGCGTCTGACGGCCAAGCACAGACAGGAGGTTGAGCGGCGCCTCACCGACCGGGTCTTCGACGTCAGCTTCTGGCGGGAAGAGCTGGGTGCCCGACACGCGGCCATGGAGCAGGACGCCGCCGCTCTCACCACCCTCAGGGAGAGACTGAGCAAGGCCCATCAGCTCTACCTGCAGCCGCTGGAAGTAGCGCACCAGTGCATCCAGATCAGGCAAGGAGTTCCTGAAGGTGGCCGCTTCACCCTGCTGCTAATTTTATTATGAAACCTTATACCTTAAGGTGATAACTTTTCGAAATAAAATGATAAACCCGAGGTAGTACCTCCCCTCCTTTAATATATTATACAAAATTAAATTAAATACACATATGTTGTACCTAATTAGCCAGAGCTCCCTAACAAGCCTATTTTTTACTGATATATTAAATATACAAACATATATTGATTGACAGGATTGTTGATTATTTGAATAATTAGCGGATAAGTTGACGGACTGAATAATGAGACAGTGAGGAAAATCCTGATATTCTCTTGTGCATACGAGGTTAGGTTAGGAGAGGATAGTTAGGTTAGAAGAGGATAGTCAGTTTAGATTAAGTTAGATTCGATTAGGATAGGATAGATAGTCAGTTTAGGTTAAGTTAGATTCGATTAAGATAGGATAGATAGTCAGTTTAGGTTAAGTTAGATTCGATTAGGATAGGATAGATAGTCAGTTTAGGTTAAGTTAGATTCGATTAAGATAGGATAGATAGTCGGTTTAGGTTAAGTTAGATTCGATTAAGATAGGATAGATAGTCAGTTTAGGTTAAGTTAGATTCGATTAGGATAGGATAGATAGTCAGTTTAGGTTAAGTTAGATTCGATTAAGATAGGATAGATAGTCAGTTTAGGTTAAGTTAGATTCGATTAGGATAGGATAGATAGTCAGTTTAGGTTAAGTTAGATTCGATTAGGATAGGATAGATAGTCAGTTTAGGTTAAGTTAGATTCGATTAGGATAGGATACCTACATTTAAAATTGAAAGAGTAGCGATGACGCAGGGAAGGAACAAAGTGTTCTCAGGTTCAGAGCCTACTTGTGGCAGGAGCGGACGTGTGGGGGTGGAGGAGGTGGAGGACGAGGCCTCGGCGGCGCTGCGGCAGGAGGTGCAAGAGCTGCTCAGATGTCGCGACGTCCTCGCCAGAACCCTAGCAGACGCCGACCATCAGGTGAGCCCGAGGACTGGGATAGGGGTTGTGGGAGAGAGGAAATGGGTGAAAAGAGCCCGGAGGGATGGGGACCTTTTCTTTCACCTGATGCCATTGTCCACCTATCATTAAATAGGTACCAGGGAGTTAGCCATTTTGTCGTGGGTTGGTTCCCGAGTAAGGTGGACCTCAAGCATTCTTCCCGCCCCCGAGAAACTTGTAGTTGTAGTTCCTCCGGCTTGCCTGAGTCTCGAGCCTCGCTCTCTCTCTCTCACTCCACAGTTCCGGCGGGTCCTCGCCTCCCGCTACCACTTGGAGAAGAACCTTCAGGATAAGGACGCCGCCCTCCGCGTCGACGAGGCCACTACTAACCTCACGCCCACGGCGCCGCCTACAGCCATCATCCCCAGACAGGCCGTCGACCCCAGGTAGTCCCTCCGTCAGTCGCTGGCTACTCCAGGGGTGTTTTGTTAGTGCCAGGATCTCTTGCTGTCAGGACGAGGATTCATCAAGCACTTAAAGTATCCTCTTATGAAACTTGTATATCTTTGTTGACCAGACCACACACTAGAAGGTGAAGGGACGACGACGTTTCGGTCCGTCTTGGACCATTCTCACAATCGACTTGAGAATGGTCCAGGACTGACCGAAACGTCGTCATCCCTTCACCGTCTAGTGTGTGGTCTGGTCAACATACTTCAGCCACGTTATTGTGACTCATCGCCTGTACATCTTTCCTCAATCATGGCAGCTTAGTTTACATTTAGTAAACAGATTATGAGCTCCTGAGCCCTACGAGGCTGTCTATAACAATAATAACCTTGGGTTGTGAAGTTTTCAAGTTCGTAACATGTTTAATAAATACACACTGAGCTAACATGATATAGGAAAGATGTACGAGTTTTGTAACTTATCACGTAAATGCTTGCCCTATCCTGGGCAGGATAGAGCAAGTATATGCATATTATCCAAATGATAGATTAGTTTCTTTGTTAATTTCATTAGGCAGTATAAATTGTTAACCCATTTGTATTTCAATAAATATCTTAATTTATGCTTTCTGTATTTAACAAAATTATTCAATGGAAGATATTTCCCCGATCCCCAGTGGTCGAAGTGATTGGGCAATGTTCTTTCACTCCATCCTCCTATCCCAGCTCCTTGCCCTCATATCCCAGCTTCTTGTCCTCATATCCCAGCTCCTTGTCCTCATATCCCAGCTCCTTGTCCTCATATCCCAGCTCCTTGTCCTCATATCCCAGCTCCTTGTCCTCATATCCCAGCTCCTTGCCCTCATATCCCAGCTCCTTGTCCTCATATCCCAGCTCCTTGTCCTCATACCCCAGCTCCTTGTCCTCATATCCCAGCTCCTTGTCCTCATATCCTTTTTAAGAGCTACATAGTGATACTGGCTTAGCGCTTTCCCACAGCTACTTCCTCTTTGTTGACCAGACCACACACTAGAAGGTGAAGGGACGACGACGTTTCGGTCCGTCCTGAACCATTCTCACAATCGACTTGAGAATGGTCCAGGACGGAGCGAAACGTCGTCGTCGTCCCTTCACCTTCTAGTGTGTGTTCTGCTCAACAAACTTTAGCCACGTTATTGTGACTCATCGCCAGCTTACTTCCCCTTTAAATGTAACGAAAGATTTTGTTGGCTTAATTTATTTTCAACAGTCCAATCTCGGTGGAGTGGTGGCGGGAGACCGGAGTGAAGCTGTTACACCGAGCCGACGACGAGCACCAACTCTCAGCCCAGGTGGGGGCCACTCTCAGGGCAGGTGGGACAAGAGAGGGAGGTGGGGGCCACTGTCAGGGCAGGTGGGACAAGAGAGGGAGGTGGGGACAGCTCTCAGAGCAGGTGGGACAAGAGAGGGAGGTGGGACAACTCTCAGGGCAGGTGGGGACAAGAGAGGGAGGTGGGGGCCACTCTCAGGGCAGGTGGGACAACTCTCAGAGCAGGTGGGACAAGAGAGGGAGGTGGGGGCCACTCTCAGGGCAGGTGGGACAAGAGAGGGAGGTGGAGACAGCTCTCAGAGCAGGTGGGACAAGAGAGGGAGGTGGGGACAACTCTCAGAGCAGGTGGGACAAGAGAGGGAGGTGGGGACAACTCTCAGAGCAGGTGGGGACAAGAGAGGGAGGTGGGACAGCTCTCAGAGCAGGTGGGACAAGAGAGGGAGGTGGGGACAACTCTCAGAGCAGGTGGGACAAGAGAGGGAGGTGGGGACAACTCTCAGAGCAGGTGGGACAAGAGAGGGAGGTGGGGACAGCTCTCAGAGCAGGTGGGACAAGAGAGGGAGGTGGGGACAACTCTCAGAGCAGGTGGGACAAGAGAGGGAGGTGGGACAACTCTCAGGGCAGGTGGGACAAGAGAGAGAGGTGGGGACAACTCTCAGAGCAGGTGGGACAAGAGAGCGAGGTAGGGACAACTCTCAGGGCAGGTGGGACAACTCTCAGAGCAGGTGGGACAAGAGAGGGAGGTGGGGGCCACTCTCAGAGCAGGTGGGACAAGAGAGGGAGGTGGGGACACTCTCAGAGCAGGTGGGACAAGAGAGGGAGGTAGGACAACTCTCAGGGCAGGTGGGACAAGAGAGGGAGGTGGGGACAGCTCTCAGAGCAGGTGGGACAAGAGAGGAAGGTGGGGACAACTCTCAGAGCAGGTGGGACAAGAGAGGGAGGTGGGGACAGCTCTCAGAGCAGGTGGGACAAGAGAGGGAGGTGGGGACAACTCTCAGAGCAGGTGGGACAAGAGAGGGAGGTGGGGACAGCTCTCAGAGAAGGTGGGACAAGAGAGGGAGGTGGGGGCCACTCTCAGAGCAGGTGGGACAAGAGAGGGAGGTGGGGACACTCTCAGAGCAGGTGGGACACGTGAGGGAGGTGGGGACAGCTCTCAGGGCAGGTGGGACAAGAGAGGGAGGTGGGGACACTCTCAGAGCAGGTGGGACAAGAGAGGGAGGTGGGGACAACTCTCAGAGCAGGTGGGACAAGAGAGGGAGGTGGGGACAACTCTCAGGGCAGGTGGGACAAGAGAGGGAGGTGGGGACACTCTCAGAGCAGGTGGGACAAGAGAGGGAGGTGGGGACAGCTCTCAGGGCAGGTGGGACAAGAGAGGGAGGTGGGGACACTCTCAGAGCAGGTGGGACAAGAGAGGGAGGTGGGGACAACTCTCAGAGCAGGTGGGACAAGAGAGGGAGGTGGGGACAGCTCTCAGAGCAGGTGGGAGAGTTCTTAATATGCTATGAATTTACAGAACACAAGTCCTATTATTTCCTAGTTACTTTCTTTACGTTTTTGAAGCATATTTCGTTTAATAATTAAATATTTCACTTTTTATCTTCAAATGACACCACTGCCTAATATATATATATATATATATATATATATATATATATATATATATATATATATATGTATATATATATATATATATATATATATATATATATATATATATATATATATATATATATATATACGTCTCTGGCTATATAATAGCAAGGATATTTTTCTACTTGTAGAATGAGTTCAGGCAAATCTCAATCTCTGTCTCTCTCTCTCTCTCTGTCTCTCTCTCTCTCTCTCTCTCTCTCTCTCTCTCTCTCTCTCTCTCTCTCTCTCTCTCTCTCTCTCTCTCTCTCTCTCTCTGGCTTCGAGTGGGATAAAGAGATGCTTCAACTTTAATAAAAGCATATATGTATTCCCTGCTCCAGTCACACACACACACACATTTCCCGGTCTTGAAACTCCTACATAAACTTTGCATCAAGGTATTGGGAGTATGAGTTCAGATGGATCTCAGACGTCGTGCTCAGGTCATCACAAACGTCCATCATGTCCCCCTCAACTCAGCCTCACACTAATGACCTCATTTCAATCGTCTTTGAAGTGACGTTCGCTTATGTGAACGAGCAATTAATCTGTTACTTTAAAGTGTGTGGGAGTTTATTATGATAAACAGTACTGAATCTTTTACTTCAGGTTTTCCTTGTCTACGTATGACGAGAATTTCTGGCTGTGGTCTTGGAAATTATCGTTAAACATACCTCTGGCTTGTGTGTGTCCGGTTCTTTGACGCCTTCCACCGGCGAGTGGCACTCTTAGCCTTGCTGGCGGCGTCTCCTGAGACGAATGTAATTATCTGGGGTGTAGTTACAGGGTGTAGTTACAGGATGAGAGGTGCGGTGGTGTGGGGTTTCAACTTTAGGGATGTGGTCCTGCCCCACAGATCCTGGCGCTGGCGGAGGACATCCTGGTGGCGACGTCTCGTCACCTTCGGGAGCGTCTGGAGCACACTGACCACTGCCTGCAGGCGCGCATCCTTGACACCCGCCATGCCAAGACCCTTCTGGAGGAGCAGCATGCTAAGGTAAATTTAAAATCTGAAGGTAAAAAGGTAAATGGAACGGAATACTGTTGGGTAGGATTAATGTTTATGTCTACTGTCTGTTTCTTCAGCTGGTGGAGGAAGAGAGGCAGCTGGAGCAGAGCCTGGTGGAGGTGGAGGACCAGCTGGAGGCCAAGCGTGGCCCCCTGGCCCTGGCCCAGACGCGCCTGCACACCCGCACTAGGAGGCCCAACATGGAGAGGACCAGGTGAGCCCTGGTGCCATGTTCAGTGGCTCTGTACTTACCCAGTGTGTGTGTGTGTGTGTGTGTGTGTGTGTGTGTGTGTGTGTGTGTGTGTGTGGTGTGTGTGTGTGTTGTGTGTGTGTGTGTGTGTGTGTGTGTGTGTGTGTACTCACCTAATTGTACTCACCTAATTGTGCTTGCGGGGGTTGAGCTCTGGCTCTTTGGTCCCGCCTCTCAACCGTCAATCAACTGTGTACAGATTCCTGAGCCTATTGGGCTCTATCATATCTACATTTGAAACTGTGAATGGAGTCAGCCTCCACCACATCACTTCCTAATGCATTCCATTTGCTAACTACTCTGACACTGAAAAAGTTCTTTCTAACGTCTCTGTGGCTCATTTGGGTACTCAGCTTCCACCTGTGTCCCCTTGTTCGCGTCCCACCAGTGTTGAAAAGTTCATCCTTGTTTACCCGGTCGATTCCCCTGAGGATTGTGAGGACACACACACACACACACCCCTGTGTGTGTGTGTGTGTGTGTGTGTGTGTGTGCGCCCCACCCTCCAACATAATATCATCAACACACTCGGGGGCCACACATGAGGGGCCTCGTAGCCTGGTGGATAGCGCGCAGGACTCGTAATTCTGTGGCGCGGGTTCGATTCCCGCACGAGGCAGAAACAAATGGGCAAAAGTTTCTTTCACCCTAAGTGCCCCTGTTACCTAGCAGTAAATAGGTACCTGGGAGTTAGTCAGCAGTCACGGGCTGCTTCCTGGGGTGTGTGTGTGTGTGTGGTGTGGGAAAAAAAAAAAAAAAAAAAAAAAAAGTAGTTAGTAAACAGTTGATTGACAGTTGAGAGGCGGGCCGAAAGAGCAAAGCTCAACCCCCGCAAAAACACAACTAGTAAACACAACTAGTAAACACACTCTCACATTCTGGCCCCTCCAACAGAGACGAGGTGGAGGCAGCCCTGCTGAGGGAGGTCCAGGAGCTAGAGCTCACCATCTCCCGCCTGACCTCCGCCGCGGAGATGTCACGTGACCACCTCCAGCGGCTGAGGTCAACTAAGGTCAGCCTCGAGCACGACATCAACCTCAAGGCCAAGACGCTGCTCCTCGACGAAGTCAAGGTCGTGGCCCTCCGCAACACTGTCAAGATTGACACCTACTAAGGCTTGACACCATTAAGGCTTGACACCATTAAGGCTTGACACCTACTAAGGCTTGACACCATTAAGGCTTGACACCTACCATCTGGAAAAAATGGCTACGGCTACGAAAAAATGGCTACGAAAAAATGGCCTAGCCAAAAGCGTCACTGTTGCTGGGTTATTAATATCTTTAAAGACTTGTGTCAGTGTCCTCCCAGATGTCGTCAGGAGAGGACGTGCCACAAGGCGCTCCGCACAGGGGCCAGAATTTATTGAGCATTTACGTAACTACTTTACGAAATTTGGACATTTTTCCTTAATCATGGCGGCTTTGTTTACATTTATCAAACAGTTGATGAGCTCCGAAGCGCTCCGAGGTTGTTTACAAGAATAATAACCATGGGTTGTGAAGTTCCCAAGCTTGTAAATGTTTAATAAATGTAAACAAAGCCGACATGAACCATGAAAGATGTATAGGTTTCGCAAGTGGCTGGCTGCATTAGGGGATGTACCCAAGGGTATCTTATCCATTTTGTATATTAAGTGATTCCAGTTACACTATTTGCTGTTTTTGCATGTTGCGTCCTGTAGTTTATTACGACCTAAAGTTGCTTACAGCAGTTTAATCTAATCTTGCTAACCTTGCAGTAAATAAAAACAATATTAAATTGTATCTTGGACTATCAACTATAACCCTTAAAACTGTCACTGGACGAGAACTCTCCGATGAATTCGAAGAAAAGTAGAATAGTGCAAACAGGAACTAGCAGATCTCCTGTCTATCACCATGAAATGTGTCAAACAGCTGTATTGGGCAGGTAAGTAAGTTAGTAGCCTAATAAATGTTGTCACGACTTGAATACGACTTGGTATAGGTATCTCTGGCCTTGTATGGGGGGTGTAGATGAAGTAGAGTGTAGAGTGTATGTGGACAAAGACACGGACACACATTGGAGACATTGGAGCATTTACATCTTGGACGGTGACCATTTAGAGGCGGGTCTAAGACGCACGCTGCATGAAATGGCAAACCATCTTGTTACAAATATCTGAAATCACTGTACTCGCATTTCGCTTCTACTAGATAAATTACATATATACATGAGACGCTTATATTATGAGTTCCCCCCTCTCTCCCCCCCCCCTACCCTCTCTACCCCCCAAGTTCCCCTACTGCCCTGCTCCCCTACCTTAAACTCATCTTGCACCCTTACTAACCCAAAACACCCTTCCCCCCTGCTCCCCCAACCTCCACCACGTCCCTCTCCCTTCACCTACAACCCCCCCCCCATGTTATCATCAGCTGTACAGTCATGTTTTATCGATGAGAGATTGTGTTATCAGCGTCCAGAGATACGTCTGCACTAGTGCCAGCTCCCCCCTCGTTACCGGACATATCAGTGCCAGCTTTCCCCTCGTTACCAGGCACTCCGGAACGAAGGGATATATACACACTGAGAGGTGCCTCTCGCTTCTCGGCGCGTACACCGAGAATTTAAGTTAG